AATTTTATTGTTGTCTTACATGTTCCTTTCAGGAGAAAATCGACTAAATCAACATTGAGCAAACACTATAGACATGCGGGAGCATGTTAAGCCTAGTTCCATGGAGGGGACTGCACCGTGCGTATATTTAGACGAACCAATTAGAGCCACTTTTGACTCCTCATCATTCAAAAACTACTGTGCATTAACACTTCAAATTTGGCTCATGTATTGAGACTTGCAAGATATACATCAGCTTCAAATTTCATAAATATACCTCAAACGGTTATTTAGGTATTGACGTTCAAAAATCGATATTTAGAGCACTACTATCTATCTATCACATGTGAAATGTTAAAATTTACTGTTTTTTTATTTGTTCCTTTGTATTTACAAAACTACCTTTCTGGATGCCAAATTTGAACCTTCGAGGTCATCTGGAAGTGGTTAGAATTTGGTCTATAGGTCAGACATGTAGATTTTTGGACGTCAATACCTAAAGAACCGTTTGAGGCATATTTATGAAATTTGAAACTGATGTATATCTTGCAAGTCTCAACACATGAACCAAATTTGAAGTGTTAATGCACAGTAGTTTTTGAGTGATGCGGAGTCAAAAGTGGCTCAAAGCAGTTCGTCTAAATATACGCACGGTGCAGTCCCCTCCCTGGAACTAGGCTTAACATGCTCCCGCATGTCTAGAATGATTGCTCAATGTTGATTTAGTCGATTTTCTCCTGATGGGAACATGTAAGACAAAAATAAAATTTCCAATATTACAGACCTTCTAGAGCAGATGCCACGAAAACTATACAATTTATAGAAAAACTTGTCTATCTCACCTGTAGCAAATTGAATATGCTTTTTTTGGTTCAAAATAGTCATGTCACTAGGACGCATAGTTTCCGAGGATTAAGCGAAAAACCGAAAAGTGGCACCTTTAAAACCTCCTCTCCCCGCCGGCTCAAGGGCTAAGGGTGGGGACTTTTGCTATGTTCACCTCCTAACTAGTCTAAATAAAGTCCTGAAGTCAGAAATTGTGTTCTACAGTTTTCCATCTATAATGCTTTATTGACTGGACTACAGCGCCATGTTTGTTTGAAGAACGCTATAAAAGGCACTTTGAATAGTTTAAGCGGTGCTTAATAAGCGCAAACATGTAAAAACGTTTTTTAAACTTCAGCGTTGGTTAACGATACTCGCCCGTACAAAAAGTAAACAGCGGAGGAGTATAATTGACTCTTCACCAGGATTTTTATTTCATTTGCGCTCAACGCTTTGAGGGCCGTTTGAAATCTTTTTACACTTTTTATAATAATGCTTATTTTTGTCATTCCTAAAAAAAAGCCTAACTTCAAAGTATACTCTGTAATTTAAAACACTCAATTAAATTAACAACTCGTCTATGTAAATTAAGAAAAAATAAATGCGTGTTTAAAACAGTCAAAATTTAATGCACGTGTGAGACTGTTATGCCCGTTCTCACCATCAATCCCTAATTTTTAAGTGAGCCCTATGGTAACACATAACAGGAATTTAGTTTTCATAGGGGTCACTTAAAAATTAGGGATTGATGGTGAAAATAGGCATTACTCCCTAAATAAAGATCTAGTCGAACAAGGTAACTCGCATTGTACTTACTAATTAACTGCTGTTACTCGTATATGTCACAGTCTGACGTGGGTTATCCTTAGTTGTTGTAGCCCGCACAAATAGAGAAGGATTATGTATGATGGCCAGAGCTGTAAACACACGTCACATTTAATACATAAGTACATAGTTAAGTAAGACAAAAGGTAATAATACGCCTATTGAGTGTTAACTATTAAAAGAAAAGAATGACCAGTCCACATGTGCTTGCATAGCAAATGGCTCAACCAACAAAAATTCAAAACTGAAGAAAGGCTATCCCAGAAATGTACCGACCCCGCAAAAAATGCATCGCATCGTAAATTTATTCTGCATGAACCCAAAATGTCTTCTGCATGCGCTGTTATTGCAAAAACGTGCAAGCACTACAATGCCCTCCAACGGGCAGTAGATACAGTATCCTTATTCCAATAACTGATTGCATTGCTGACTGGTTCAACTTCGAACTCCTCCTATGTTCTTCTGATTAATTTCGTCGCAGGTCCAATGACAGTTTAACTTTCCCCCGGGACAAACTTGACCTTCACTGGTTGGGTTTGTATTGGCGGTCAATCTGTAGATCCTGGCTACACAGGAGTTGCAGCGGAGGGAAAGAGAGGTGGGAATAGTCCCGATGACTGGTTTAAAACAGCAAGTAGAACCTAGCAGTGGTTCCAACTGTATAGAACAGTACCATCTTGCCGTAAATATCTTAAAAGATGATTAAGAGTATTATTAAGCGACTTTATTCCGTATACAAACTAAAGTCGCTGACATAGCCCAACGGATTAGTAAGCTGAAGTTGCAATGGGCAGAGCACATAGTACGCAGAACTGACGGCCGATGGGGCAGCAAGGTTCTGGAGTGGAGGCCACGTACCGGAAAGCGCAGCTTAGGACGTCCACCCACAAGATGGACCGACCACCTCATAAAGGTAGCGGGAAGGCGCTGGATACAGTCCGCTACCAACCGGCCATTGTGGAAATCATTGGGGGAGGCCTATGTTCAGCAGTGGACGTCCTGTGGCTGAAATGATGATGATGAAGAGTATTAGGCGTTGGAGCGAGTTTCATCATCATCATCAGTAAATCAGAACTACTTTAGTACTATACATAGGTAGGTTATGTTGGTGAGAAATAAACATTACTTTAACATTATTCTAAGTCCGCCTGGCTAGCTACCACCATCTTACCTAAGTCTGTCGCCTTAACAATAATGTTAACAGCATTGTTGTGTTCCGGCAGTTAGAGGTAAGATAGCCAGTTCCTCCGTGGTTGAGGATTCCGAGTGAAGCTCGCTTCCATCTTCGGCCTGATCGTCACTTACCATCAGGTGAGATACAGGCCAAGAGCTTCCTCGATGTGGACAAAAAAATACTTCACTCCATTTTAACTGAGCTTACTGTCCCCATCGCCTTTATAGCTCGTATGAGCTGCAGTGCTGTGCTCCAAAAAGCCCGCCTTTTGTTAAGGGTATATGTTCAGCAGGAGTAATGTACACTGTCTGGCCAGGATGGCATAGTTTTTGGCTACTTCGCGTTATTGCCTCTCCCACTCGTACGCAACTTTATTACTACTCATAGAAGAAACTTGGTATTTAGGCACGAATATGTTTATACCGTTTAAGACAAAATTTAGCCTGGGAGCTGATTGCGCTGTGGTAAAATACTAATATTTTATACATAACAAGCAACTAGATACCTACCTTAAATCAAATCAAATCAAAAATTGTACTGTGCGGGAATCGAACCCGCTGCCTCCGGAATAGTAGTCCGTTTCGAACCACTACACCAAACGGCCGACTGATGAATAGATCTCTCTATTCTGAAATATTTTGTAACGTAAAACTACATGGGAAGTTATTGAGTTGTTGGGGGTTACTTTAGTAGGCCAAAATTACGTTAAGGATACATAATTCGATATTCTATTCTATGTTCTTATCAAATTGAAATCATATAAGGATAAAACAGATTGTTAGGTAAATGGGTATAATATGAGCCGACACTAGCCCATGTTAACATGGGCATATACGAGTAAATGGTAGGTGAAGTCAGAAAATTGATACCTTCATTTTAATTTTCATACAAATCGGTCTAATAACGTTATTTTATACCTTTATTTTCGATAGTCAAGAATAGTAAAATTTAAAAAACATTTTAAATATTGATATTACAAAAATGACAAATATTCAATGTTCCCATTATACAGCAGTTTTAATTGAAAATGTAATTCTTTGATGAAATATTTTTATTAAATAGTGTCACAAAGTTAATTAAAGCTTATTTAGTAATACCTACTTAGGCTGAGTTGCACCACCTAACTTTGAATACACTATAACGATAACCGGTGTTTTTGTACTCCATACAAAACGCACCGGTTATGGTCATAGTTACCGTTAAAGTTAGGTGGTGCAACCCAGCCTTAGTAACGCGCTATAAAAATCGCACAAGACTTTCATGCTCGTTACCGACATCATAGAGCGATGTCAATATTATATTCTTAGACTAGCATTAGTCGAGTATTTAATACTCGTGCTAGCCTCCAAAAATTATTTGAAAAATATGGTCGTCGTTGTTTGCCGCCGAAGTATAGGTCTCGCTATTGATAATGGCCAGAGTATAAGTTTGGAAAAAATCAAACGATACCGCGGGCTAAATCAGAACAGTGCCATCTAGCGGATGCGGAGTTTCAGTCCGGCGTTGTAAACCCTCTATCACCCGATAGAGGGCTTTTGATCGTCGACTCAGCGCGGGGTGGTGTTTCGCAGGTGGGGTACGAACGAAAGTCAATTTGATTTAGCAATCGCGTTCTCGTATTGAATGCAAAAATAATGTTAGCTTCTACGTTGCAGTAGACTAGTCTTGTCAAGTTTGATTCGTCCTGAATAATATAGAGACGTTATAATATTAGGTATTTATGATCTTAGCCTCTTTACTTATATTAGCCCAAAAGGGGACATGGAAATGAGCAAAATCAAGCGGGCAAAAGATGACTAAATCACCCTTTATTTGCTCTAGGTGTCAGCTTGAACAGGAAAATATTTCAAACAAACCATATTTTGATTTAAGAACGGACTTATTACAATGCGTAATCACACCAAAGCCGAGTATAACTGGACATTTAGATTTGTGTTTAGTGTGTGTGTGTGTCAAGTATAAAGTGTTACTTGTACCGTATAAAAAAGTACATTTCCGAAATGATACTAACTTAACTGAGATGATAAACATTTTATAACAATGGTTCGAAGGCAATAAATTATTTTTTTTTAATTAAATCTTGGTACTATTTTATCTTAGGTATGTATAGTTAATTTATTACCCAACATTAGCGTTTACACCCCCCGTTAACAGCAGAGCGTGCTTCTGTCATTGACTCTGGCTCTGCACTTTGCAGTTCCCTGACGAGCGCAACCACGACCTGGCTCAGATGTACCGCATGTACTTCACGCGCAACGTCAACCCCACCAACCTGTCGCTGCTCATCGACGCTTACGCGCGCCGCTCGGACCTCGGCATCGGCCGCGACGCCGAGACCCTGCGCCCGCCCGTCCTCAACATCACCGGCGCGCTGTCGCCGCATCAGGAGGACACGGTCGCCTTCAACGCACGCCTGGCGCCCTCCACCTCCACCTGGATGAAGGTACGCACCCAGACCCGTGTCACATCGGGCGCGCGTGTCACAACACGGCGCCCGTGTCGCATCACGGCGCCCGTGTCACATCACGGCGCGCGTGTCACATCACGGCGCTCGTGTCACATCACGGCGCCCGTGTCACATCACGGCGCCCGTGTCACATCACGGCGCTCGTGTCACATCACGGCGCCCGTGTCACATCACGGCGCGCGTGTCACATCACGGCGCGCGTATCACATCACGGCGCGCTGTCGCCGCACCAGGAGACATTCCTCCTCATACAATCCACGAGTGACCAAACCACTAAACTCAAGGCTGTCCCTCAATACCAGGATTGCTCGAGCATGGTTTGACAACATCAATCAAATTAATCAAAAACATGCATGCATCAATATTTATTCACTGCTGAACATTAGTTTTCACTAACCGCCAGCACAGTATAATATGTGTTATCAGGCTGCAGAATTTCATCGCGTTATTAACAAACCCATTTAGGGCACTGATTTAACGTGAGAGACTACTAGTTGCATCCGATAAGCCGATATACTGTGATTGGGCGCACCGCACATAGCGTCATAAGCACTAGCAAGATAGAGTACATAAGCTTAACTGTGGTAAATACCGTGGTTGGCATCGTGGGGAATATGCATTGCACGCTAATTCAGTGCTATAAAATGTATGTACAGTCCTCTCAACTTAAGCTGAGAATTGCATTTGTGTGAGTGCACACCGATAGTTTAGAGTGGCAATCGGCTTGAAGCGCGGTGCGTCCCGCGCATGGTTTATTATAGCAAGCGGCCTGAAGCGCGGCGCGTCCGCCACGCACCGCTTCCTTGTCGCTCACATACTTCACTTCATCCCCAGTACTGGTAGCAGATACATGTAATTTTATGTAATTGTGTTCCAAATATTAGTGAAATGGCTCCTACTGTAAGTGAATTTCCTGTACGAAATCCATTAAGCAGCCAAGTGAAAGAAATTTTATGCAAATTGAATACGTATTTTAAAGGTGTGAACGAAAAGTTTTTAGTCTGTTTTTATTTTGTAATTTTATAAAGTTTGTCTTTTTGTTGTATTTTGTAAGGCTGGCTGGACGCCCTCTCTATAAACGGTGCTCGCAGAATATCAGCGTCGAGGTACTTCGTGCCTTGGCATATGCTGAGCGAGGACCTGTTTTTATTTATTTAAAAGGATGTGTCAAGTGTCGTTACATCGGCCCAATTGGTAGCAAGTGTTTTATAGACTTCCTTTTAATAAAACATTAATTTTATTTGTATGTGTTTTACTAACGGTACTTTTGGCGATCACTCACACAAATGCAATTCTCAGCTTAAGTTGATAGGACTGTACGAGTACGATATGAAATTCTTGGTTTCGATATAGCTATTAGATAGATAGCAACATCTAAAGTCCCTTTCTGATGCTAGAATACCGTTTACTTTGATCCAGCTGTAAATAGCACAGAAGCTATATTTACTAGGCACACGTAGAGGATCATCAGAAAGTATCCGTTTTGTAAATGTTTTACGTATATCTATGATGTATTCATAAGTAACAAATGTAACTAGGTATGCAAACTTTCCCATTTGATAATTACCGTGTGGCGTAGATGTGTCGCTTTTATTGGCTTTCTTAATTCCCGCCACATCATCAACAGCCCTTTACAGTCCACTGCTAGACTATGAGCCTCCTCCACTATAGGGGAAGGTTTCGCCATAATCTCCACGCTTGGCAAGCGGGTTGGAGATCGCAGTTTAAAAGATTGATGTTTTTCAGAGAGCGCTGCTGCCCGTTCTCTGTTTGATGTGTAGTCCCTAAGTCGCCTCTTACGACACACCCGTGGAAAGAGTAGGGGTTGGTGACAAATGTATTCTACTCAGCCGTCACCACACGGCTTACAATATTTATAATTCCCGCCACAAGTATACTTCAAGTTTGTCAATGAGTTATCACAGTTATAAAAAGGAAATATCACCGCGTTTCCAGATCTCCGACTGCGGGATGGTGCTGGAGGAGCAGCCGGCCAAGATCTCGGAAGCGTTCCGCCTGTTCCTGCAAGGCGAGGGCTACGGTAAGTAGGCCCGACGCCTGCCCGGACCGATGGCACGGAACATTCGCGCCTATCCTGGATAGTTTAACGACATTCGGATAACTATAGTCTGGTCTGTGAGCACGTAGGATTTTGTCCAATGACCCCAAGCTACCCATCCTTATCGCTCGCGCGTAATTATGTTGCTATCGCGCTCGCACACTCACTGCGGGTGCCAGTCGCACAGTCGCGACAGCAATATAATTACGCGCGAGTGATAAGGATGGGTAGCTAGGGGTCATTGGACAAAATTCTACGTGCTCACTGACCGGGCTTTACAAGTCTTAGTGTGTACAAGGAAATGGATCAGGCCTTGATAATGTTAGTTTTTTTTTTAATTAATCCGATATTGCCGCCACTCTTTCGCTGCATATCAGCGCTTACACCTATGAAAATAAAAGGTCAATTTCCTTGTACGCCCTGCAGAGTCAGGTCATTCCCAGACGCGAGGCACATCTCGACACTTGCGGACTCAGCCAACCTGACACCAGAACAAACCGGTAGCTGAGACGTTAATACGCCGCATAGTAACACAGTACTTGTATCACGGGTAAAAATGACCCTTTATAGACTGAGAAGTCGTTGAGTCTCACCCCTTTGTCCTTCAGAAATGTTCACAATCGGCTCTTTTATTGGCTCGCAGCTGTTTCCATTGTGCGAGTACATGATCTCAGCATTACCCGCAGGTCGCGAGTGCCGCGCGTACGGAAGTGCACCGCGCCTAAGCCCCAACTTGATCGTTCCTCTGGGCCTCTCCTCTCAAACCTTACAGTAACATTGTCATGCAGAATTGGCTTTAATTTCACCACACAAATGACGACCTCCGTCTTGTACAGCCGCGTGCATTATTAAACAAATATTTTTAGAGTGTATTTTTTATTGATAGCGTTTTATTTTTGTACACAAATGTCACAAATAATAACGCCGTAATATTTCATACCGCATTTCAATATTATTTTTATATTTTATAAACTACTAGCTGACCCGGCGAACTTCGTACCGCCTTAGCGTAGAGATTTTCTTAATATTTTTTTCCGTAAGAACCATCCTTGGACTTCCACAAACATTTAAAAAAAAGAATTATCGAAATCGGTTCAGCCGTTCACACGTGATGCCGTGACAACGCGAAACGGGTTTCATTTTTATATATATAGATGCACGCGTCTTTAGATACTTTATTTTTAACTATTATTCTTCTAACATACTTCATATTATTATTATTCTTTATATTTAAACTTAATGAATGAATACTCAATATAAGTATATTTAATCATAATACGCTTTAAATGTTATTTAAAATTAATACACAAGTCACTAAAAACTTACACCAAAAATAACTTTAGGTTAACTTTAATATTTATGAAATGTACTCAAGCTTTTAATGTAAAAATAGGTTAATTTATGAAACGTAACGTCTTATTGTAACTGTTTACTTGTAATGTTTAACTTTTAATGTAATCTTTTAACTATATTTTGTATTAGTTTAGAATGACGGCATGTGATGGTATGCTGTTAGACCGCGGCGCCACCTGCTACACTTAACAGATGGTTAAAATCCTAAATTAAGTTATGATCACCTTCTCTGTTTCCGAAAATGGAAATGAAAAATGTGCCACCATCTTACATTTGTGGGCATCGCAATAAAATTATGCTAGTTTGGACCTATCGAGTAAATTAATCATCTAACGGGGCCGTTGACTGGATATCGCGAGTGTCGGCGACCTCTAGTACTTAAATAATGCAAGCTCAGGACCTCTGACTGGATGTCCCGATTTTCTTCGAGCTTTGGTACTTTAGTACGCATAGTGTAAGCTCTCAAGTGAAGCAGGTGAGCGCCGTGTAGTGCCTCGGCGAGGTCTGTAACGGCGTATGTTCTATATCTTTGCGGAGCGGACGCTGGCAGGCCGCGGCCCGGTACGTATCGGCCCCCCGGTAGCCCGGTAGCCCGGTAGCTCGGTAGCTCGGCTTGTGTCCTGTGCTAGTCGTGCTGTCGGTAGCCCACTGTGCAACGTGTAACCAATAACTTACCTACTTCAAATATGAAAATAGTTTCAGTCACTCGCCAGTCGATTGGCGTAACTTATATGAACTGCCAATGCGCTGATGCATATTCATTGCACAGCCATTCTAATTAATGATGATAATTTTCCATCAACTTAATTGAAAACTAAATAAGGTTTTCAGGGCATTTGTAGGAAAGTATTTGATGAAAGTTTGAAACGCATTTGCCTAATTAAATTACTAATGTAGGTTAATGTTACATCGAGCTAAAGATCTTAAGTATCGTGCAACGTTAAAATTAAAAAATAACATTGCATTCAGCTCATTTTTAATAATCTGAAAATCTCCTCGATTTATGTATCATCAATTATTACGGACAGTATAACTACACATTTAAAAGTTACATGTTGTATTAGATATAAATAGTTATCCTCGAAGAATTAGCAACCCCTATGCATACGTAGGTAGAGCCAATGTTGTGTGAGAGTGGTTGCCGCTGTAGATAGAATAGAACCCTAGTTAGGTATGTGTTTGCTAGAACCTTGTTGCCGATATCCATTTGTAATAAGTATTATTGAAATACCTATTGGAAAAATCAATTTTGATTTTGATGAAAATAAATAGCTAATGGGGAGAACATCACATTACCTATAGTTACCCCTTTTTGACCGCTCATAAGAATCGCTCGCCTTAAAATATTTTTGTAAATATATAAAATTAAAATTGTGGAGTTACCATCGTTATTGTTTCGTCGTTCTCGTTTCTGCACCCATTCGTAGATTAGAAGCCAACTGCATGCTTTTAATTATTAATGTTTATTACGTGTTTATTTTAGCATTAAGTATTTTTACATTTTCACACCTTTATTTTGATTTTTTACATGTTAGTGTTTAAGTTTTATGACACTGAAGTTCTGTTCTGCCACTGAAAAACCAAACATCTCTTGGTTTTCAATTTTATTATCTAAAAGTGGTAAAACAGAGCTGAGGCGAATCTAGGCGTTCAGAGCCCCTTCTAGTGCTCTTTTTACAAGTTTTTTCACAAAATAATTAGAAAACCAGTTCATTATTTTAACCCTTATGAACTCCTGGGTTCGCTTTTAACTAGGGGCCCATATACGCCGGCTAATTGAGCACCAGCGGGAACCCACAGAAAAGTGTCAATTACTGATATTCAGCTACGGGACTATTCCCACCTCTCGTTCCCACCACTGCAACTCCTGTGTAGCCAGGATCTACAGCTTGACCGCCACAAAAACCCAACCAATGAAGGTCAAGTTTGTCCCGGGGGAAAGTTAAACTGTCATTGGACCCGCAACGAAATTAATCAGAACAACATAGGAGGAGTTCGAAATTAAGGTTCGACTTCTCTCCATTGTAAAGCGGATGACAGGTGACAAACAAAGGTTTAAAACCTTTAAGATATTCAGCTAAACAGTCAATTAATTTTCCGCGTGCGACTGTTGCGACGTACCCAAGTGAATTTTTTCTCATGAGCTTATTATTTGTCTCATAAAGACGTCCCTATAGTCCTTGTTAGAACTACTTTTAACCCTAAGTTTTAAAAACTGGTTTTTAAAGACTCCCTTATGTTTGGAGTGAGTCTTTTTCATCTTTATCATTTAAATCACGATGGACACGTGTGAGTCAATCAATGGCGTAGCCTCGAGAACGCTGGACAAAAGACGGAGGGATAATGCCTTGTTTTGGCGGATTTCGCTTCTCTGTGGGCCCCTCCAGTGGCCGGGGTATATAGGCCGGCACGTTGCGTACTGACCGTATTCTCTGCGCCGGCGCAGCGCTGAAGCTGCGGGTGCGCGCGCCAGCTAGTTCCGTCCCGACCCTTGCGTAGACACCGTAAGTTTATTTTCACTATTTTATGTTCGTTGTGTTTTTTACTGGGAAGACGACTGATATTTTTGTAACTGATTTAGTTTTTCTTATTGCAATCTTTGGATTTGCTAAATTAATTGTCATTCTTGAAGTATTTCTGACGCTATTCAATTAAATGAATTGACTAACTTAATTTGACTGTTAAATTTCCATAGCGTGTTAAAATATAGTTCGCTTTTATAAACATGACTCATAAGCTAAGGACCAAGACTTTAAAACCTTAAAATTCTTAGAAAAGAGTCGTCTTCCTAGTTAATTATTAGTCACTTTAAGCTTTGTCCTGCATGTTATTATTACACATTTCACAATCATCTTTATTTGTTAAGTGTTTTAGTAATTCTTAAACGTTCATAAAGTGATATAACGAAATATAAATTTGCCCCGTTAAATGTTCAGAATTAATTTGATCTATTGAAAATCATGATTAACTACTCGTCGTTTTTTTCAAGTCCTTTAAAATACTAAAGTTCTATTCGGTAACTTATTTGTTACTTACATAAAACCTTTAATTATTTTGATTTGTATGTATGTTGTTTAATGTTTCATTTTCCCTTTTTTTACTTGGTATTTCTTTTTTTACATACATACGTATAATGACGTAGGTGCTACGGTGAATGTTAAGAAAGGAGGTGAGTTCTAGTGGATTTCAGAAATAGATAAAAAAAATAAGTCGTGCAAAAGCAATAATAAATTATAAAGTACCTACTGACATATTCAGTTCCAATCAAAGTGAATGGTTTGTAATCTTAAAGTGACACTAATGACGCAGTTAATGACGTTAATGTATTTTGCAAACATCTCATCTAATGTTTAAAAGCTACCGTTAAAAAGTAACACCAAGTGTGAATTATATTGTGTTTTATTGAATGTTCATCCTTTTGCTTTTGTATGACTTCTGTTTTACAATATTGACTTTATTTTTGTGTCCACATTGTCCTGTGTCTTAAATCTAAATGTAAACGCACCAACCTTCAAATAGTTAACCACATCTTATACGTTTAATATTAAAGAAGTCACGTAATAAAAACATTTATATTATAGTTATTAGGCACATAATTGAGATAGGTATTTCAGAAATTGTATCGACACCGTACGCACCGCAGGCGTTGAAACAGGTCCTTGCTCACTTGTTGAAGGCGTACTGTACAGGCACTTGCCGACGTGTCTCCGCGGACCAACATGTCTGTCATAGAGCAGATATTTCATTCAGAACTTACGTATTTTATTTGTAGATTCGTGTTAGACAGTTATATTCAATTTTGTAGTTTCATTTAGTCTTTTTTTGTGGTTTGTTAGCGATTCTACAATGTGACATGTTACCTCGGAGACCTGTCGGTTCACTCAAGTGTTCAAAATCACACATGGTAATGTTTCTCTTGCGTGTTACAGTCGCGCCTCTGTCGCCGACGAAGATCGTCGCGTTCCGGCGGCTGTCGGACGCCGCCGAGCGCCGGCGCTCGTGCCGCCACTCGCCCGTCATCCGCATCACCGAGAACCCCATCTCCGAGGCCGTGGTCTGCTAGGCGCCCGGGCCGGCTCGCGCGAGCGGAGAGCGGAGCACACCCTGTAAATACATTGGCGATTTCGATTTTTTCCCCGTATTTAACCCGACGATGCGGATAGTTGGCTTCGGAGATGCCGTACGTTTGGAGGTGCCTGTACCTGGAGGGCCCGTCGAGCCGCTGCGCGCAGCAGCCGCTGGCGCGCTGCGTGGTGCTGCTGGCGCTGCCGCCGCGAGCCGCCGCGAGCCAAGCCGCGCGCAGCTCGCTGGCGCTAATTCGCTCGCTGCTCCGCTCGCTGCTCGGCGTGCTGTTCTGTTTCAATAACCTCCGACGTTTATTCACTATTAAGTAAGCGCGGGTGGCGCTGCGGCGGCAGTCTGTGGTGTCTGCAACGAAATTATATCATGACGATGGTAGCGCGTGCAATATCAAAAATATGTTTCTTTCTATCGCGATCTTTATAACGAACTGTACTGACGCCAGTATGTTTGTGAACAGCGCCACCTGCTTTTTTATTTTTTTCTCATTTTTTAGATGTAAGTTATTTTATTAAGTTTCCAAATTTTGTGTGACCGCCTTCCCCTGGGGTTTGAATGAAAGTGTTTGAATTATGCGCGTGAGTGTGCTGCGACCGGCAGGCCGGCCGTCTGAGACGGAATAATTTAGTTTTAATATATATATCGTGTCGCAGCACCACGCTTACGAGAATGTGAGGAACGATAATATAAAAAAGGAACCAAAGATAATGTAAGTGTACATATCCGGAAACGCGCGGGCCGACCCAGTGAGTTGAAGTTATATCAGGTGTTATAAGTTTAAGGAATTTTTATTAGAACACACTGACTCACTGACTATACTATTACTGTAATGATATACCACTATCGAGCATTTATCGTTATTCGGTTAGGCTATCGTCACATTGGTGTTACTTCATGCAAGTGTGCGAGGATCGGCGTGGATGGTGACTAGAGATAGATACGAGGGCTGCGGCGCATCGCCGCGCGGCCCGCTCGGAGCAGCTGCCATGACAATCGAGCAATTTCCAATTCAAAATCGAAGGTTATTTATTTGATTAACTTTTCTAACAATCTCATCAACTTCCATTTGGTTATTAAAGCTGTATTTATATGTGAACGAACCTTTCTCGCGGCAGCTGCGCGGGCGCGGCGCGCTCCGCCGCCGGGTGCTATGCTAAGACCAAGACAGTTTTTTGAGATCGATCATTTAATGACGAGTGTTTTGGATATATTTTCGCTTAGTTTTTTTAAAACGCCTATTGTACGTCACCTTTTTAAATATACTTAGTTTAATATTGATTTTAAAAAATTGTAAATCACGGCCTGTACTGTGTAACGGAGTGTTGTGAGTGATTTAGTTTTGTTTATCAGTATTATTCCCGGGTGATCACCCTTCTGTTCGGCCGCTTGTAGCCGTTAGCTTGCGCCGCGAGGCCGGTAGCGACGCTTTGTAGAAATACAATAAGCGCATTACGTTCTTAGATACTACTTACATTTTATCAACTTGTAATTGTTTTGTAGTGATTCGACTCTAAGTTTACTGATTTGTGTAAATTTAATATGGGTCTATTAAAAGGTGATTTTGTAAAGACTTCTTGTTTCATTTATCTTACCTATTACTTTTATTTCTAACGCTAATTGCGAGTTGTTTTTATGAAGTCTACTTTGCATTTTCCTATTTTACACATTTCTCGTGCTTGGTGTGCCAGATAGTGAAATAAAAGAAAATTTACGTGATAGTATATATTTATTTCAAGTACAAGATATCAACAAGATTAGTGTCTAATATTATTACAAAACATGATTCTTAGTATTAAACTTAATGGTGTAAATGTTCTGCGATCTAAACTCTATAATACTTAACATTAAGCGAAATATATTGCTTAGCGAATGACTGCTGACATGTCTGATATATTATCACTAAGAAATAATATCATCGCCTTTTATCTGTATACATAATCGTTATTCGTTTATTAATATCGTGTTTATCAAGCCAACTGTAAATAGTGAACATAGCTCCTTCAAAAGTCGATGGTCTATTATTTCTGGTGTCACAATATTTCTGGCTGCGCGCACGCACTGATTACGTTGACAAATCTTGTTTCGTCAGCAGTGTGATATTCAAAGGGCAGTGGAGATGACTGACAGGGCTGCCAACTTTAGTAGCGCAGTCATTTTAGTCTTATCTATTAATTTTTAAGAGAAAATTCAAATCCAATAGAAATTAGTTCGTTTCAATTATAAATTGTAATATAATATGAATGGTAGCGTAGATACATTAAAAAATTATTTAAAGTTAAATCATCAAGTCTGAATTAATAATTTTCTATTTCTACAAATTATGTATCATCATCATGCAGTCATTGAAATATCAAGATTGGATAAGTTGGACAGCCCCATCAACTTTATGATACATATTTATTTATTAGGGCCGATTTTTTAATCTCTACCCAACATGAATTCAAAGATTAAAGTTGTTTTTTTAGTTAAGATCAAAAAACCGACTCGATTTTTATTGTCTAGTAGTTAAAAACCTGATTAGTAATCACAGAAAACTTGTGGACAATGTAACATCATTTTTACTGAGATTTTGTGTCAATTTCCACATAGTGAGTGTTACATTGCCTTCAGGATTGCTGAATGGAGCTTTACTGTAGGCCCAATCAGAGTGAATTCCAATTATTAACAATATTATACGTTACTTGTAATGACAATGATCGCAGTTGCAATGTCAGCTTGTCGTGGGGACTGCAGACCCGGGCGGTCCCGGCAGCCGGTCAAAGGCAGGGGCTGACCAAACGACGGACTATTCAGTTCTGTTAACCTAAATAAATATGGACCCTTCATTACTTCTGACTATTGCAAGATACAAAATTAGTACCTACTGATAAAAGCACGCTTGTGAGCATGTGTGATAAAACTTATCTGCAGCTTTTGCTTAAGCTGGTCGCGAATTGAAGGCGCTTTATTCACCATTTTGAGAGAAATGTTGACATTTACAAGATTAGACCGTAGTTTCGGAAAAATAATTCTCTTTAGTCGTAGAAGACTTCAATTTTCGTTTCGTTGTCTAAACAACTGAAATTTCGCTGGTTTCCGAATCTTTGTGCTTATTGGATGTTTCTAATACTAATTAATTCAGTCGAGCCAGCTCGGCAAATGTAGAAATTTAACAAAATTGCCCGTCGCATGTGCCAGCCCTTACATCTATGAGTACAGGTAATTTAAGGCAGAAAATGTTTTAAAACGTATCCCGATACTTATATTATATGATGTACGAGGGCGGCACTGAAAATTTCGGGAATCAAGGAAGTGAAACAAAATTACTATTTAAAAATGTATTTATTGCTTTTTAAAGTATTCTCCGCGAAATTAGACACATTTTTCCATACACGAAACCAATCATTGAAGCAACCATTCCATTCGGAAGTTTGGGTCTCCAAAATGGCCGTTTTGTAGGCGTCCACAGCTTCTTCAGGTGATGAAAATCTCTGACCACGCAATTTATTCTTTATTTTAGGGAAAGTATAGAAATCATTAGGGCTTAGGTCGGGGCTGTACGGCGGATGGTCCAATAATTCTATGGTTTCTTGCTCTAAAAACTCTTTTGTTCTGTGCGCGGTGTGAGAACTCGCATTGTCGTGATGGAGGATGATGCGGCGGTTGCAGTTCTCTTTACGGAGTTCAGAAACGACCTGTGGCAAACAAATGCTAGCATACCATTCTGCATTAACCGTTCTTTGTCCCCCAAGAGGAATAGTCGCAACATGGCCGGTTTTGGAGACAAACGTGGCCACCATTTTTTTTGCAACACTCCGTGAACGAACAATTTTTGTTGGCTTTAACTCATTTTCGAACACCCAAACTCGTGACTGGTTTTTTGTTTCGGGTTCGTACGCGTATATCCATGATTCGTCACCTGATACGATGTTGTATACAGCATTTGAGGATCCTGCATGTAATCTCCCGAGAGTTCTGACGCACCAAGTAACGCGAGCCGCTTTTTGCTCTTCACAGAGCGAATGCGGTATCCATCGGGAAAACAACTTTTTTACACCTAATTGTTCATGCAAGATTATTTGTATTTGACTCATGCCAATGTCTAAAGTTGCCTGAATTTCGCGGTATATCACATGTCGATCTTCTTCAATCAGCTTACGCACAGCATCAACGTTTTCTTAGGTGACTGCAGTTTTTGGACGACCTTGACGGGGATCATCACTGAGCTTGACACGTCCACGTTGAAATTCAGCAAACCAGCGATAAATTGTGGTTTTGGATGGGGCTTCATTACCAAATGCAGAAATCATCCGGTCAACACACTGTTTTTGTGTTAAACCACTTCAAAAGTCATAATAAATCATCGCTCTTGAATTTTCTCGAGTCAATTCCATTTTCTCAACGACTAAACAAGTTTGACAAGACCTTGTGATACGACCGAGAATCTTTTTTTAAATAAATAAATGGTATACGATTTTTAAAACCCTGGAGTTTGCAATTAAATCGATTTTAATATGACAGGAACAGTGGAAATATTCCATTCCCGATACTTTTAGTGCAGCCCTCGTATATGTATATTGTTCAAACACGCATGAAAGGCACATGACCATACATTATGTAAATAGTGATAAAAATATGCATTTATGAAATGTAGATATTTTATGATATTGCCTTCAAAGACGCACTGAGAGTATCTGATGGCTTATTGTTCTCCTGCCCACCAGTGGGACACAGTGGACCCCTCGGTGGGTCCTCCAAGACAGGATCGATTTCAAAAAACATCAAACACCAAGCAATATAAAACACGAAATATTGATAAACACACACTTAGAAGAAATATCTGAGAATATATTGACTTTTAATGCATCGACGTGAAAGTAATGTACCAATTTGCGAGCACTACTATTTCTTGAGTAACCAAGTGACCACGAGATAAACGAGAATTGATTACTTCAAAATATATATTTTCTAATATTCAAATCGAAGAATTATTGAAAAAGTTGCAAACGTTTGTAAAGGTCCTAACATCTATGCCATAGATTCTATGGAATATCTATTGTAAAAAGTTAAAATGGACATGTGGTTTAGAGTGAACTTGCCCGAGTTACTTCAGGCCCCGAAAACTAATCTCACGAAATATTCTTCTCAACATATGTATTAACTATAATATTTTATATACACAATTCACTTTATATTATCAATACAGCTTACCAGGGAACTAGTGTGAGTGGAACTAGCGAGCACAGTCTACAGGATCTAACCTAAACGTGATTAGAATGTAGTTATTGTATGTTATTATATTGCGTTTCAAAATTATGCGGAAGCGGCCTACAATCACATCAGTCTTAAATCATTAGTAGGTAGAAAGAAAGGTACACGTTGGAATAATGAACATAATAAAATAGATTGTGCATTATTATTTTCAACAACAGATGATTGTAAACATATATGCAAAGAATGCACTTCGTCACACCACCTAGTATGTCATATTACCCTACCTTAATGGATTTAATTTTCAAAAGTATTAATTTTCGGCTACGTCTTTATTCCCAAGGGTAGGTAAAATATAATAGTTCCATCTACAAATGAAATAAGGTGAGTATGTATGCCACTCCGCGTTGGTTGCACAGCCTAAAGGGGCACCTGTCATCGACAAAAACTTCACCCTAAATAAGTTAAAAATATTTTATAACGCATATGAGACAACACCAAGATATATATAGAATACAATATTATTTCAAAATATTTTATCATTTTACGCTTCAAAACTACTTAAATCAAAGGCTCGAAATAACGTCGTTTATAAAAATATATCTTCGCCAATATAATTATAAATTTCTTTTTTTATATATACTTTATTGCGATCAATTTGTATCAAGTTTGTAGTCAAAGAACATTTATTGAGAAACTTATAAATTGGACAGGCATGAAACTTTATTCAGAGTTTACTTCATATACTATACTACTATAAATATAAATAATCTACTTTATTAATGTGCTATGAGTGACATCAGTATTGGACAATATCTACGAAGAATACAAAAATCCATACTTGCACCATGAATTCGTAATGCCTTTGCATTTACAGAAGAGTCCAATGATATCGTATCTTAATGCCAACATACTGCAATATATCCAATAATAAACAATATGTACAGTCAGCGTCGTCGAAGCGCCTAAGATAACCAAAATTATCTGATATTCAATATTTCATAATAATTATAAATGTAACCAGCATTCATATTTTTGAACACCCTGACAGCTCATATAAAATTGAGAACAGTGTTGCTAACATACTCGTATATTGACTACTTTGGGTGCTTCAAACAATATGCTTACTTTGACTGTTTACATTTATATGAAACTAGCTGACCCGGCGAACTTCGTACCGCCTTAGCGTAGAGATTTTCTTAATATTTTTTTCCGTAAGAACCATCCTTGGACTTCCACAAACATTTAAAAAAAAGAATTATCGAAATCGGTTCAGCCGTTCACACGTGATGCCGTGACAACGCGAAACGGGTTTCATTTTTATATATATAGAAGATATCAGATCATTTTGGTTATCTTACGCCCGATTTCAATAATCGATCTTTCGTCAAATCCAGATTGAAATATGACAGTTAATGTCATATTTCAATCTGGATTGGTGTTACCTGCTTTCCAATAATGTATCCACGACTAGAGATTGCAATCTGCGCTGGCAATCTATCTATGGGAGGGTCAGATCAGAAAACGGATAGACCCTCTATGTGAAAATGACAGTTTTGTGGTTTCCTATATCCTATCCGCCGATTTTGACGTTTGCTTTGATAGGTGTTGTCATCCAAATTTGCAATCCTAAACATTTCTAGGATTTGTTACAAAAAATATCTATTTTCTTCCAAATATGGAAGAATATTACTGTACTATAGGACATTTTGTGAAAGATGACGTCGGCGAATTGTTCTCACGCTCCAGGAGCAGTGATAGCAGTGATTTGGAGGACCTCATGATCATCAAATGATCATGTCGAGTTCGCGCTCGGAATTTCTGTAGGTAGGTACCTACCTACCTACGTGATTGTATAATTAATAATTAGAAGATCCGCAGGCATACACACACAGCCCACAGAATTGCTAAAATCAAGTGGCAGCAGGCGAGGCACATAGCTCGCAGAGTTGATGGCCGCTGTGGCAGAAAAGTTTTCAAGCGGTGACCACAGGCCGGAAGACGTAGTGTGAGCAAGAAGCCCATTATGAGGACCGCCGATCTGGTGAAGGTCGCGGGAAGTGCCTAGATGCGGGCAACGCAGGACCGGGGTAATCATTGGGGGAGGCTTTTGTCCAGAAGTTGACGTCATTTGGCTGATACGAACCAAGTAGGTACTATGTGCTTTGATAACTAGGTAATTATAGAGTTTTTCTAATTTCAGAACATTTGGAGTTTGGGAACGAACTCTATCTGCAGAATTATGAGAATTGAAGAAGTTCCTTCAGAAAGGTGCCAGCTGGGGACTATTATTGTGGAAAGGTGGCCTGAAGACATTGCTCAAAGGACAGACCTGACAAATAATTATTTTAGAAAGGTTTTGATAAATAAAACATTTTTCCATATACTTAAAGGTTTCTTTTATTAATATTAAGTTTCTTCACCGTTATTATCACTGTTATCACCACCAAATGGTACTTCAAAGCTGCTGGCCGCGCTTCCCAGCAAACTTATGATACACTCAAAAGTTCCGTTTCGAGGCAATGTTTCGAGGTATAAATATTCACCAGCTCCGCCACCAGTCTGTAATGAAAAGTTGAGGGTAAAATAAATATATTACAGCACTAACTATGCTTCAACAGGTTATTCATAAAACTCACCAATTCCTTGTCCATTGCAATATTTTATTTAATTTAGAATTATTTTACAATATTTATCGACTTCACTTTGACGTTGACTGATGGATGAAAACAAAACTGACAATTTTAATTTTTTGAAGGAAAACGCAAAGACATTATATTCTGTGAAGCCTTCAGTTTTTATACAATTAATTTAAAATAAGTACTATCTTCGACGTATTTTCATTTTTTGCTGTTTAAATAGTTTAATATCTTTATATTTTGACCTATTTTATTTTATTTCGCCTGTCCACAGCGCATAATTTAATTAAGTTTATACGAGTAAAACGTAATTTGCGTAGAACTGAACTTCCGAGAGGGAAAAGATTGCCGGGTTATCCGAGCAGAACAAAGGATTGCGGCTCTTGAGATACATTATTGGAAAGCAGATAGGAGACCAATCTACAGATTGGTTTCTTAGATTAAGATTTGAAGATTGCTAAAATCTGTGGATTGAAGATCGAATATTGAAATCGGGCGTTAGACGCTTCGGTCAATCTGACGCTGACTGTACGTACATAATACATACAAATGCAACTGAAACTGCGTGTACGTAACACTACACCAAAGAAGAAAGTTATTTTACGATACAACCTAACTAATAATTTTCTTATAGCATTCTTAATGATATATGACAATTAATGAAGAGAAGATTTAATTAATTGAATAAACAATTAAAATGTTGACTGACTAAAATCGTACGTTAATAATATACGAGGTGTGTTCAAAAAGTAAGGTGACTTCAAATTTCGCGGGAAACGTACTTTCGATTATCGATTTTTTTGTTTTGTTATATTGGTACACTCTTCCCGAACATCTGTACCAAGTTTCAAGTGTATAGCATTTTTTGTTTGGTTGTGAGAGCCGTAAAGGTTATAAGTGTTTTGCGTGCTCGGCGATTTTTTGCTATCGAAAAATATGGATCAAAGAATTTGCATNGAACACACCTCGTACACATAAATTTTCATAGACAAAGTAAATTTAACTTCTAATCGCATTACTAATACAATAATATGAATATTACAAAAAATATATTATCTGAACTTAGGGAATATGCATTATTTCTGAAAACTGCGACCATTCTTTCTCAACTTTTTTAATCTAACTAGATATTGGAAAAATACTTAGGTATGTTTACTATTACCAAACGAATGAATGCATATTCCCCATAAGTTTATCAAATAGACGCTAACTAAGAAGCATGAGTACACAACACAAAGTGAAACTCCACAGTAAACAGACAGTAGACGACGAAAATCACAAGGACCGTTTATTTATACTGTAGTCACTAGCCAAGCGCAAAGTCTAGATGCGAACTAATCTTTATCCCTTAGCAAAATACAGTACTCGTCCGTTTAAAATACACATCGGAAACATACCAGCCGGGCTAGGATGCGATTTAAGACGACAAATGTATGAGCTTATCGTGACACGCATCCTAGGCCTACAGCGGGGTTTGCAGGCGTTCTACGGTGTCACTGCCTCCTACCCACCGACCAATGGACCACAGGTAAGGTCTTGGCAAGTATCGATGCGGAATCTACAAACAATACATTTTCGAACTATGTTTCCTTCGCAAATCAAGTATTTTGGCGTACATATTAGCAAACAAGACCAGTAGTAAAATTTTAGTGGTTCAGATTGAAATTATTGTTTTTTTTTTGTATAACATCTGTTGACACTTTAAAAGGACAGTACTGTAACGAAATATATTTAGAAAATGCGTTGAGTGTCTCACAGCCACGTTGACACTTATTATAGACGACCGGGGCGCTGACAGTAGCTTATACGAAGGCATCAGTCGCTTAGCAATATGACTACTAACTTCATAGAAATACAGATAGGAAAAAATTGCGAAAACAGACGCTTTGGATTGGTTTATTTATATATTTATTGCATCCTATTTAAGAAATCTACCTGTGATCTTAACATTAACAATTTAGAATATATATTATACTACCCGAAGTTGGGTTGATAACATATTGCCAAATACAATATAAAGGCATATCGATTGCAGTTTCACACACCATGTTATATTGTCGCAACAACAGAAGGCATGATACGGCAAAATATTGCTACAGTGAGTTTCGTAATAAATTTCAATATACACAGTTACACACAATATTAATACAATTTACACTGGTTAATATACGCTATTACGACACCTACAAACGACGCTACACGACATATGGGACAAATGGGGGATTTATACCTTACGTGTCAAATGGGGTAGATTACGCACCTATAACATTAACAATATTAGCGCGAAGTCTCAAACAAATTCTCACATTATACAAAGTTATTCGGAAAGGACAGCATTCCTTCAATACTGAAATACGAAATTACCACATCCTGGCCACAGTGAAGTTAGAGGGAGCTATATGAACCGAGATATTTCAAAACTCTTTTTACTTCTTTCATATGTCCCAAAATATTTGACATTAAAAGATTGGAATGCGTTTATCAGAATCTAATTGAGAATTTGTCTCAGATTTCGCATCTTGAGTTAAACATAAATATATTATGTATTCGTTTATATACAATTTATGATCATTATATCGCCACAATAAATTAAACTTTATGTTGGAATATCTATATATATTTACATTAATAAATCAAAGGACGAAGGGCGTGACGTCAGCCTATAAGTTTGTTTTGTTTACCGAAGGTGAATCGTTTTATTTTAGCCTTGTTTTTCACAGGACTCTCATTTAGTTTTTGTGATAGTGACCTCAGATACTGTTTCAAAACTTTATTAAATAGATAGAATAGTGAATGTTTCCTTTCAAATAAGAGCATTGTAGTACTCTATCATTAGAGGCTATCAAAATATCATTACATTAACAAGTAATATTATATTGAATTAAATCAAATATATCAAATTATACATATCTTCTTCGATTAGATATTTGATTATAAGCACAAATTACTACACAATATGCTCACGTGCGAATAATAAACAAGTCAACGCCCTATAACAGACTTATCCTATAAGTAGATACATTTAATATCAACCCTTCTCTGTCCTTATAAGCACAATCCGCGCGGTATCGTCCGGCATGAACATTTTTATTGGCTCGTGAAGTTCAAGCCAAAAATGTGCCAGCCATTTACACGTATCAGGCGTCAATCATCGACTTTATAAGATTGACACCTAAAACTCAAACATCCTGCACCGCAGTTTGAATTAAACGACTGGCGCGTTATTGACTCAATAGTATTGAAATGGAAAAATATGCGTGCCGACATCCCCTTCACCAAAATGTTGCTCGGTCCATAGTGCCAGTGTTACGTTTCCTTCTATCGAATCACAAGGATAGAAAGAGACAAGCAGAGCTTCACTATTGATCTCAACTATGAAGGGGCCAATACGTATATTAGGAGGAAAAATATGTTTACAACAGACATATAGTCTGGTCCGTGAGCACGTAGAATTTTGTCCAATGACCCCTAGCTACCCATCCTTATCGCTCGCGCGTAATTATGTTGCTATCGCGTTCGCACACTCACTGCGGGTGCCAGTCGCAAAGTCGCGACAGCAATATAATTACGCGCGAGCGATAAGGATGGGTAGCTAGGGGTCATTGGACAAAATTCTACGTGCTCACGGACCGGGCTTTAGAAGTAATGACCGTATGTATAGAACTTCAACAGCAATTGTCCTGTCAAATGAAACCGTTCGTTCACACCGAACACGCGGAGAAGTGCTAGGCGGCGCGGGCGGCGCGCGCCGGGCCTCAGTGGTGGAACGCGAGGATGAGGATGATGCAAATGATGATGGCCACCACGATCGCGATGTACACCTTTTTCTTCCTCAGCTTGTTCTGCGAATAATTATCATTCAACCATAAAACTGTCCGTCCATACTACTGTCAAAGAACCTACTAGTACCTTTTTAAATAAATAAAATAAACAAAATTTTTGATGTGCTGTTAACTGCATCTCACTTAAGAGCGTTTACGCCGTTTGGCGCAAAAACAGTACTTTTTCAACCCGTTACAATCATTAACCAGTTACATTACAAATATGTTATAGGCATAAATAATTAGCCAATTTCGTCGTCTAAATAGTTGAGAAAATATTTAAGAATTCTATCAAGATAAGTCCACAGAGGTTTTCAAATTTCCACTTTAGCGTCAGTTTACAAGCTGAATTTTTTATAAAAATACTGTAATAACGATATAACAAACATTTATATCCTATAGCATAGGTCCTTAGGCAAATAGTTAGTTGAGAAAATTCTTAGATTTAAGCATTTTACAATAAGAAATCACAAATTCAAAGAACGTGAAATACCCAAAAATCAAAGTGATTTTTACACCATTATTCTTCTTTAATTCAACATAAAAATTGCTTAAGATAATAAAATAACATCTTCTTTAAAATTTTTACTTTGAAACGATATGTAATTCATTGTTATTGTTTTGCTATAAACATTTGAAAACTATTAAAAAACGCCGCGCGCGAATCATTTCCAATGATGCCCCTTGAAACGCCGCGCTTCGCGTAAACGCTCTTAACATCAGATGAGATTGCAGTAAAATATCAATACTAAATTTTTATCCATCCATTATGTACTTTAAATTAAAACATCATTGGCCCTGTAGGGCACGGCAATTAGGAGGGAGGAGGACCACCTACAAAACTGCCTTGTTCTGCATAAAAAAATTGTAACAAACTGACCGTACTTAAACGAACTAAAGTCGCTGACATAGCCCGACGGATTAGCAAGCTGAAGTGGCAATGGACAGGGCACATATTACGCAGAACTGACGGCCGATGGGGCAGCAAGGTTCTGGAGTGGAGGCCGCGTACCGGAAAACGCAGCGTGGGACGTCCACCCACAAGGTGGACCGACGACATCATAAAGGTAGCAGGAAGGCGCTGGACGCAGGCCGCTACCAATCGATCAACATGGAAAACACTGGGGGAGGCCTATGTTCACCAGTGGACGTCCTAAGGCTGAATGAAGTGTTCGCGATTGAAAAATCCGCCAGATGGCGGGACCTGGATGCAGGGTCTGACTGCTGCGTGATTGGTGGATTTTGACAATGTCAATGTCATGTCAAAAATAACCAATCATGCAGCATTTGGAGTTTTGGACCTCGCGTCTACGTATTGCCATCTGGCGGATTTTCAACCGACTTAAAAAAAAGGAGGAGGTTCTCAATTTGACCCGTATGTTTTTTTTTTTTTCTATGTTTGTTACGCGATAACTCCGCCAATTATGAACCGATTTGAACAAATCTTTTTTCGGCGTATAGGTAATACCTCAAGGGTGGTCCCATTTAAATTTAATAATAAAAAAAACAACCCCCAAGGGTGGAAAATTGGGGATGAACTTTTTTATACGCAATATCTCCGCCGATTATGAACCAATTTGAACGATTATTTTTTTGTTGAATAGGTATTATTTGATATTTGTGTTCACGCATTTGAAGTCGGTTTTTTTTTAAGTTATAATTATTGCGCGAAAGCCCTGATTGGTGATGATGATGTTGATGAAACTGACCTTGTAAGTGGCCGCCTGGCGGAGCTCCTGCGTGGCGGCCTCGACGTCCTGCGAGGCGTACTCCACGCACGACTCGATGGAGTCCACCACAGCGCCCTGGTCGTGGATGATCTGGCCCAGCTCCTTGAAGATCTGGTTCACGTCTTTGATGTCGCTCTGGAGATAACACATGAAATTAAGCCAGAGGACCCGACGGATTTCCAGCAGTCCTGCGTAACTGCGTAATAAATGTTTCTTTCTTTCTTTCTTTCTAACTGTGCGCCGGAGTTGTCTCCTATTCTAACACGCCTGTATCGACTCTCACTTGAGACTGGACTAGTCTCTAAATCATGGAAGCTTGCAAACGTACAACCCGTACCTAAAAAGGGCAGTCGTGCTGACCCAAAAAATTACAGAACAGACCAGAATGTTTTGATGCCTCTATTCTTGTTTTTAGCAAACAGATCATGAAACGGAATGATATCAGCAGCAACTGCCCTGCTACCGGACTTGTAATCTCCTTTCTCCGCTTGCATCTCCGTAAGCAGGGGAGCGTCAAAAACGCAGAGTGGGACGTCCACTTACAAGGTGGACCGACGACCTGATAAAGATAGCAGGGAGGCGCTGGATGCAGGCTACCAACCGTGCGATGTTGCTGCTGAAATGATGATGATGATGAAATATAAACTATTCTATTCTACACTGGTCATCATAAAAAACGACCCACCCGCGACAAGCACTTTCAAACGTATGCATCCCCACTTCCCACCAATATTACTATTAGTCCAGTCATTTAAGCTTAAATTAGGTAAGAATATCGGAATTAGAGATACCCAGCTGTAAGTCTGTAAATACTTGTATATTGACACCCTAAAAGTTGTCTCAAAACCTACATATGGTAGGGTGTAAGCAACTATTAAATTTTAAGGTCAAAGGTCACAAAAATCGGTTTTTTGCGCTTTTTTTGGAAATATCTCATTTCCTATGGGTTTTTTGCTATTTGTATTTATTATCAATATTGTAGAATACTAAATTCTCTACAAATTTTGTTTTGAATTTTTTTTTATACGGTGAACCGTTTTCGAGATAGAGGGCGGAGAGCGCGCGGTCACTGCATCACTTCAGGTCAACTTAAGCGGTTTAGGTTTTTCATACAAAAGGATTTTCCCGCTAATTCCCGTGGGAATTTCGGTAATTACTTGTTGTAAATAAGCTTTAAGTTTACTAAGGTACCTACATGCCAAATTTCAAGCGTCTAACTTCCGTTAAGCGTTTAGATTTTTCATACAAAAGGATTTTCCCGCACCCCTCCACTTTGGTATAGAAGGCTCATTTTTGCAACAGTGGTTCTTTGGGTGCTCCTGAGTGGATTTCCGTCGGTAGACATCGGGAGCCCCCCCTGTGGTAGCAGGGGGAGGGGGGGCAAGTTTCCTTCCGCCGCGCTTCACTTTAAGGCCCATATCTTCAAAACTATGGGTATTAGGGCAAGTGTGGTATCATTTTCGGATAATTAAAGGATGGCGAATTCATTTCTAGAACAAACTTTTTGCCTTTTTATACAAAAAAATTGAAATATTGAGTAAACTTCACAAAAACCAAAAAGTGATTTTTTAAATAAACGTCGTTTACTTTTAAACCACTGGAGATAATCTAATAAAAAAAATATGACCTGAAAGCTACATTTATCAGGATTATAAAAATATAACATTGTATGGTACTTTTCTCGCAAAAAGTAGGTGAAAAAAAAATTTTTCTTCAGGACACAGCGGGCGAATTTTATTGCGCATCGGAAAAAAATATTTATTTTATCCATGAATTCATACTATTTGGTTCGTAAGCAAGCAAGAATTATTATTTCAGAATTTATTTAGAGTTGCTGGCACATCAATCTACAATAATTTGTATTTTTTCGTCAATTGATTTTGAACTCTATGTGTGAGACATAAGGTTGAAAATAGCTTAAATACATTTAAATATTGAAAATATCATAAGAAGAAAGCACTTTAATTTGTCTAAATGTCTTAATGATTATTATTATTTTAATTAACACTTATTTCTACATACTATTGTACCAGTGATTTAACGGAAAGATAAGTGTGAGGAAAATGAGGTTTCACAATCATAGTACGGGAGATATGTTTAGCACAAAGGTTACGGCTGTGACCGTTTTAGTTGTTTTTTTCAGATAGCACCAGCTTCTGCACTAGGTACTTCTTGCACTTACATCTCACCATTTCCAGGCAAGCCTCGGCAGCTACGGGCAAACCGGTCCATGTAGGCTCCATCTTGCTATTGGCTCTGGTCCACCCCCAACCAGTCGGGTAAAGGGAAGACTCGAGTCGGTTGCTTGCACCTGATCCTATACGCGAACCCCTTGGATTGATCTAATAAGTAAGTGGATAGATCTTGAACAAGGGACGACTAGTAGCTCAAAGATGCAGTAGCGGTCGCTACTAACCATGATGGTTTGATGATTGACTTCGAAGTTTATCAGGCCGCAACAATAAACTTTGAAGATCTCTAGGTTTTTGAACTTCTGCAATTCTTCATCTCTCTCAAGTAGATTGCAAGCAGTTAGCTCTGTAGCTTTTGACAGGTTTTTCTCATCCATACTTTTATTCGAGAAATTTAATAAAATGGGGCTTCATGAGACTGGCACAATTATGAAAACTGAATTTCTAGGACGAAAAATAAGGACATCAAGCAAGAATCCCAAATATTCATTAGTAATGACATTGTTATTGTAAAATGTATGGATATTAGATAACAAACCCGTCTTAGTAGCATCCAATTTTACATCAGGAGAGGATTTTTTCCTCATCAAGAGATGTAATAAAAATCTACTAGTGCCTACCGTATAAGCTATTTTAAAATGATTTGCAATTTAAATCAGATTTATTACTTAAAGTTCCTTCGCCTTTTAAGAGTATTAAAAATATATGTTTCTAAATATTTTATTGTTTTTTAGGTTTTTAACTTCAAAACCTGATACCGTCACTTTCGTGCAGTAAATTAATTTAAGCCTGAGCGTCACGATCGTGCTGGGTCCCCCCACGCAGAGGGGGGCGAGGGGGATTTTTAAAATTATTTTTTTGGAGTACCTTATACAATAATAAAACATGTTATGTAGTCAAAAATGTTAATTTTAAAAAATCTGAAATCCGGCCTGAAAGGGCTATAGTAGATTTATTTACTTAGAAGTGACGTCCCGCGACATTTCAACTCAAATAATACTGTAATTATTCGATTATGAAAAAAAACGTGTCGAATGCTTTTTTACTATCTGTCTGACGGACTAAATGCAATTTCGATTTCATTACCCAGTCCACATCCCTATAGAGGAGTGTTTTCATCTCCCGACCAGACAATACCACAACATTGAGCGACTTACTGCGCAATTTCTATATAACCAAGTCCACATCCCTATAGAGGAGTGTTTTCATCTCCCGAGCAGACAATACCACAACATCGAGCGACTTACTGCTTATCGCGAACGGGTCGCCGATATTGATGGATTGCGCCTTCACCTTTTTGACGTCGTCTTTCGTCTTCTGCGCCGCCGTCCGCTGCGTCGTCTGCGGAGCGGACATACAAACGCGTTTTATTATAAGTGATTGATTAGTACTGTTAATTATGAAAAATCTAAAACGTTAAAATAGCGGTATCGTTATAACCAATGATCTGCTGTCATAGTGACATTAACGTAGTGTCAATGTCACGCGAGAATCAAACGTCAGAATAGAGGGACGCGCGGAGACGACTCCGCGCGCTTTTGTGCTAAATGATGAATTGTATTTAAAATAAGGCAATATAGTGTGAAAGTTGAGTATTCAGTGTTTTATTTGTGAGAATAGATCGACCGGCCTTTAATAGTACATTGGTTCCCAAACTTATTTGAGACTCGCACCCTTTCGACCATACAAAAAATTCCGCGCTCCACGTCAAGTCAAGATTATTTATTGGTCGTATCAAGCAGTCTGGAATACATTCTTTCAGCGGTCGCCGCCCACTTTGGGAACCAATGGATTAGTACATCGCCTCTAGATGATCACACATTTACAGATAGCATAAGTGATCGCTTTAAAAACCTAAAGATAGGAGTGCGTATTTAATTTAATTTCCTTTATTCTAAAACAGAAGCATCATAGGCCTAATTACATTCAGTAACAACGCCGCCTCCTCGTACACGTCACATTCGCATCACGGGTCAGCGTGTTGATCTAATCGATAGGTTACAATAATAGATGGTAAGATAACATAACTCATAAACCAAACTGTTAATATTTTATGGCAACTATCATTGCAGCCCTGCAGCAAAAAATCTGGATATAATCAAATTAATAATAAACATGACATATACAATACATTATCCAGTTGAAGTAAGGCGATATTGTTACTAAATGTGACTTTTTTCTAAAAATACACTCAACGATTAATGCTTCATTGTTGTTTGTTGCTTCACATCTTTAATTAAAATCGTGTAATAATTTGTATTATACAAAATATACCGAGAAGTTTATCTAGCAAGCACCTAGACTTACCTCCGACTCCGAAACTACTTTTTTGAATCACTTCCCATACACTATAGAGACTAAGTTTCCTTATGGTGCTCAAGAACGCGTCTACTTGATTTAATGTACAGTTCTGTTTTAATAAAAACGTAGTAAATTATCGTAATTATCAAGCCAGCATGACATTCCGATTTCATGGAGTATTTGTATTAAATTATTTCATAAACGGACTTGCTACCCGTCAAGGAAACCAGATAGTCGATCGAATTTCCTTTAATACATAATGGGGAATTATAAAAAGATCGACAAAAAATAACTTAGCGACTGATGATGGCATACTGTTTTAATAAATTGAGCGGTATGAATTTGAGTAAGCGAAAAATTAACTTAACGAACAACGAATATTGATTATAGCCTGACCAGGAACATAAAAACCCTGGCATAGAGGCGCTTCAATTGCATTTGATAGTGCAACACTGAGTACAGTCGTACCTGTGTTAAATTAATAGGCTAAATTTATGTATCAGGATTCAGGATTAGAAAGAAAGAAAGAAAGAAAGATACATTTATTACATGAGGAAAAGAAAAAAAGAAAGATAAGATAAAGAAAATAAAGAGAGAAGAAATAAAGAAAGAAAGAAAGAAAGATACATTTATTACATTTATACAGGATTACGGGCTAATTTGATATTTTCATAAATGAACGAAAAATATTATTAAAGGTAACCTGGTTTAAACAAATTAAATGAAACCATCAATCGAGCTAGTAGGATTTATTTTATTATTCATCAATAAACAAATTCAAAATTTGAATATTCAACTGCAATGTCTGCTCATGAACGCTTCAAACTCGGTAGGGTAAGTGCGTTAGTTTTCGTCCAATTATCGGAGTTGCCAACTTTGTGATGCGAAATGAATATCTTAAAATACCCTTACTCATATGTATCATATGTCATTTTAGTCCTTATATAGTCTACTTTACGTTAATATTATATTACAATAAGTAAATACCACGGGTTTTATTATAAAAAATATTTTATGCAAAAGAGGCGATTTCACTAGTTTTCGTCCAAAAAAATCAGTTTTCGTCCTAGTGTACGCTAGTTTTCGACCACTATGTAGAAAAAAGGGTGCAGTTGAATTATTAACTTAAAATCAATTCTACAATACAGTAACTATGGATTGTGATATATCATTTGAAAGGTAATTTTGTTAGCTTTCAAATGATATCAAAAAGATTTAAATAAGTTTCTTACCTAAATTTAGGAAAATATTGCAATAGGTCGAAGGACAAATGGACGAAAACTAATCNACTTCTTTCCCAATTCCATAAAATTCAAAACTTAGAAAGTGACAAAAAACTTTAAAATAGGTAGTTGAAACAGACTACAGCTAATTTTCATAGTGGACTGTACTAGACGATAAACATGTCAGTCAATTTGACAACCTTTGTCGGAAACATTATTCAATGAAAATATTGTCCGAACCCTTAGTATTTCTCTTCGACAAATACTTTAACACATTGTGAACCACTTTTCTTTCACGACTATAAAAAGATTTTAGCAATTTAATTCACAAAATCAATTGCACACATTTAAAATAAAGTTTGTTTACACTTTGACAACAATAAACTGACATGCAAGGTGACATGTCAATGAAGTTTTCAGTTACTGTTGCCATTAAAAGAAATTAGTACCATTAGTTTTCCGCAACATGGCGAGGGTTTTTATGTTCCTGGTCAGGCTATAATAATCAAATGCAGAACGAGCTTACAAAAAGTGGGTTATGTTTAATCCATTTTAGATATTAAAATTCTGTCTCATGCCTATCAATGTTCCATACAATTAATGATATTACTTTTTGTAGTTGACTGAAGTGACTTATTTTGTTTTGTTATTTCGATTTATGTAAATGCATATTATTATTACTTGTTTCATTTCATTACCTACCCTTAAATTTTAATAATTACTTGGCTAATATAATAGTGTTTCTTCAAATATCATTTTTAATGTGAGCTCATAATACTTTGTTATGTATTATTTTTCAGTGGTATGTATTGTAGTATTTTTCAGTGGTTTTTGTATTAGAAACACTTCATTTAAGATAAAATGCCGCTCAGTATAAAAAAAAATTGCCAAATATTGAAAATAATGCAGGACGTAACGTTGGCGCTCAAACAAATATTAGGTCGCTCAAATATTAAGAAGCATCTCATTGTGTATTTTAAGTACCTCAAATTAATGTTTGTTAGTTGCTGTTCTGTTGATTTCTCATCTTTCGCAGTCAGTCGCTCACTTAGTAATACTATAACCTAAATTAATTATTTCTGACACTTAAAACTTTAATTTACAGTCACTCGTTTTAATACTACCCTTATAAGGTTGCAGGCGTTCCTGCAACACCAAATTGCATCGCCTGCCTTTTTTAACTAATCAAGCTTTTCAAAATCTCTAATAATTCTTTATTCAATGGGTGATAGTGGACTGACTGCTCACGTACATCAAGTAATAATGCAGTGCTAGTCAGCGCATTGATATAGGAAACCAGACCATATAAATACACACTTACATAGCAGGAAACAAAGATATACATATTAATTTACTTGATAAATTAGTTATAAAATTACGGATATATCTCATACTTTGGTTATTTATTCCAGTTTCCAGTGGGCACAAAAGTGATATTCCTTCTTAAAAAACGGGAAAATCTCATTTTATAAATAAAAAGGGCATATTTCCATGACTATTTTACAGTAGGATAGAACGCGCCCGCGTCACTATTTCACCGTCTAAAGAAGTGACATCTGTCATTATTATGTTGAGAGCAATGAGTTGCGGTCAATTGGCCGCAATGACAAATATTATAACGTTTAGATTCTATTTTACGAGTTAACATTAGGCTTGTTAGATTCAGGGCTGATTTTTAATCAAAGGATTTATGTGAAATTATTTCCCATACAGGAAGTGTCAATATGCCAAACTTATTGTGCAGATAAAAAATATCCGGCGATTAAAAAGTCAGTCCTAAGACCAATAATTTTAGCTTATTAAACTATACTGGTCATCACAAAAATCGGCCAACCTTACGTTTTACAGGAAAACTCGTTTCTACTGACACAATCATGGTGCCCCAATAATATTGGTGTTATTTGAAAGCCCGATAAATATCCTTAAAGAAAAACACATTTAATTTCTTAATAAACGATTAACATATACAATAAATGTGACTTGAAAAAAGACCTCACTTTGGGCTCACCTCCGGGATCAATTAGACCAATTTTTATGGTTATAAAACAAAATAATGATCTCACGTGTCTTCTTTAACAGATTGATAGCGATGAATCCCAACTTAACAGTTTTATAGCCATAAAAGGTGGCTTAAGCGTAACTACCTATTTTTTGAAGAAGTGACTCTGGATTCTTCTACAGACACATTTTTGGGGTAAAAATCTTTCCTTTAATGAAATGAAGTTTAGAACTAGGCTTTTAAATGGTGCCAATATTAGTGGGAAGTGGGGATGCATAAGTTTGAAAGTGCTTGTCGCGGGTGGGTCGATTTTTGTGATGACCAGTGTATTTCTATAGACTGGTGTTATCAACTCGCTTATTATTTTGAAGCTAGTCCCATAGGCAAATAAGAAAAGAAGCGGCGCAAAAATAACAGAATACACAGTTAGATCCTACTGACCTCACTGCTTATTGTAGGGTCCAGGTAGGTGCAATATCGATGTACTTTAGAATATTGTTAAAACTCCCCATTTATTTTATTCGAATATAGCGTGTTTTAAGTGCATACGTACTGATACCGGGCGGTGTAATGGCGCATAAAAATAAAAGTTCTTATCGGGACCGTAGCCGTTGGTTCATTATTCTGATTGCTTTATAAATTAATACTTTATGTAATAGACATTGTATATGGAAATGGAAATGAAAACTTGTTGTTATCCAATGTATAGCTTCTTTTTTATCATCAGGTCATCTCCAATTTAGCAGAGACAAAATGAAGGACTTTGCCTACACTCCCCCACACTAGGCATAAAATTTATGGAGGCCTGATGTTCGCATATTCTCCCTGTCGCTTCTTACATCATCATTATTTCTTTAGCGTTTTATTATTTCTTCTATTTCTAACCTGTGCTCAGTATGAGTGTCACTTCAGTTTAAGATGTGACTGGGAGGCGTTGTAAGACTAATCTTTACCATATCAGGCACCTGGAGGGCGTTGTAAGGCTACACCCTACAGCGTTAGGCACCCGGAAGGCGTTGTGAGACATAACCCTATCGCGTCAGGCACCTGGAAGGCGTTGTGAGACATAACCCTACCGCGTCAGGCACCTGGAAGGCGTTGTAAGACTTAACCCTATCGCGTCAGGCACCTGGAAGGCGTTGTAAGACTTAACCCTATCGCGTCAGGCACCTGGGAGGCGATGTAAGACTTAACCCTATCACGTCAGGCACCTGGAAGGCGTTGAAAGACATAACCCTATCGCGTCAGGCACCTGGAAGGCGTTGAAAGACTTAACCCTATCGCGTCAGGCACCTGGAAGGCGTTGTAAGACTTAACCCTATCGCGTCAGGCACCTGGAAGGCGTTGTAAGACTTAACCCTATCGCGTCAGGCACCTGGAAGGCGTTGTAAGACTTAACCCTATCGCGTCAGGCACTTGGAAAGGCGTTGTAAGACTTAACCCTATCGCGTCAGGCACCTGGAAGGCGTTGTAAGACATAATCCTATAGCTTCAGGGAAGGAGGCGTTGTAAGACTTAGAGTAGGCGCACACCGTTGATTTTTAGTTGGCCGATAGTTGTGCCCGATTTTAAATTGTTTGAAGAATCGGCCAAATCGAATCGGCGTAGTGTGCGCACTCCCATACATGCCCATACTGATCAACTGCCCGACTAAACTATCGGCCGACGAAAAATCAACGGTGTGCGCCTACTCTTAATCCTATCGCGTCAGGCACCTGGCAGGCGTTGTAAGATTTAACCCTATCGCGTCAGGCACCTGGCAGGCGTTGTAAGACTTAACCCTACCGCGTCAGGAACCTGGTAGGTGTTGTAAGACTTAACCCTATCGCGTCAGGCACTTGAAAGGCGTTGTAAGACAACCCTATCGCGTCAGGCACCTGGAAGGCGTTGTTAGACTTAACCCTATCGCGTCAACACCTGGTAGGTGTCGCGTTAGGCACCTGGAAGGCGTTGTAAGACTTAACCCTATCGCGTCAGGTACCTGGAAGGCGTTGTTAGACTTAACCCTATCGCGTCAACACCTGGTAGGTGTCGCGTTAGGCACCTGGAAGGCGTTGTAAGACTTAACCCTATCGCGTCAGGTACCTGGAAGGCGTTGTTAGACTTAACCCTATCGCGTCAACACCTGGTAGGTGTCGCGTCAGGCACCTGGAAGGCGTTGTAAGACTTAACCCTATCGCATCAGGCACCTGGCAGGCGTTGTAAGACTTAACCCTATCGCGTCAGGCACCTGGAAGGCGTTGAGCGTGGCCATGTACTCGTCGCTGAGGCGCTCGCGCGTGAGCCGGGACGCGGCGCCGTCCGCCGGCATCCGCATCAGCTCCATCAGCATCGCCGACGTGTCCTTCACCAGCTTCTGCGTGTAGTTCTGGATCTGGCGCCTGCAACGCGGACGGCACACGGTTAGAAGAATAAGGTACCTTTTGGCAACCTTTGCCAGTTGCTGGTGGTAAAAGAGGAAGACTGAGGCCCTAATTATGATGATGATGTCATAAAGTTGCAATTAGCTTATCCATATCCCAGCACAATTTTAACCCTAACACTGTTTTTTTAACTTACAACGAAGAAACTCTTGGTCTGCACCTCACTTGATGAAATGTAAATTTTAGGAAGGTGGAAGTGACTGTATCTATGGAAACTTGTTTGTCAGAACTTAGTTAACTATAACTTAGTCACAGGATTAGCATGGAAGCATGCGTCAAATAAATCAGATATTCATCGTTAAACTTTATCAGTAGGTATATAAAACTGGTCTCTTAACGCAACATGCTTTCAGTTGTCGTCATTTTTACCTCTTTATGCCCCGTTTAGGAATCGAACTCAGGAAAGGTTTAAATAACTAGACAAGCAAGTTTTATCTACTAGAATACACACACATCACAATAACAACAAAACATTAACTACGTATAGCTTTAAATAGAGCAGAGCCAGAAAACATTAATGGTACGAAAGTAAAAATGCCACACAGTTACAAAATAAAGAGCTTTGTTTATTACACTTAAATAAGCCATCAAACATTTACGTTCAGCAGTATTCGAACCTGGTAGCATTCAACCAAGCAATCGTCGATGAGACAACACTAATCACAACAAGTAACGAGCTATCGCAACATAAATTCAAAACATTCGCTGAGTGCTGCTAATTGCTAGTATGAACGAAATCAAGCGTAATAGAGCTGTATGCTTTCCTAACTAAATAAAATTTACAATCATTTGATAGTAACTCCTGAAGATACCGGGTTTTCCCAGTTTAAGTCGCTAAATCATCATCATCATAACATCGAGGTTATAATCATCACTATCCTGGAACTAGGCAGCCTTTAGTGTCCTAGTTTTCGAACAATACCTGCGTCAAACATCGTACCGTATTGATTTACCAATTACAACCGGGAGGTGGGGATATTTCCATGAATCACACAAAATACCGATAGATTCATTGATTTTGTATCAGGAATGCTCGCGCTTTTCAATAAATGTTTTGTCCGTTGCGGATTTGAACCGCTCTATAACAAATATTCGAACATTCTGCTACAAAATTCACTTGATTTAAGTACTTGAATTATCTGAAAAGTACGAAGAGGTGCGGCAAAAGTACCACGCAGCAATTGCGTCATAGTTTACAAACAACAAGGAATATCGCAAACATAAAAATGCAAAACAAAGAAAGATCTCGCAAGCGCCAGTTATGTTTACGCTAAACACGGGCTCCGCTTCGTCCAACAATCGCCACAAAAGCTGGTGTTTCCAAACATGCGCCACTAAACTACTTAACTAAAGAATCAAAGAAAAACTACAGTCGGAGTTCGCAAATGCAGACCAATAATTATCCGAAAACAAAGCGAATTCAATTAACAGTAAACATAATAATACCTCCAAAATAATTAAATTTACGGTAAAATCGACTGTAGTTTTTCCTTTTAAAAAGGGTAGGTAAACTGAAATTAAGTAAATAAGTTTTCTAAAAACATTAATGCTTTAACTCAACTCTAGCAGGTATTTAATACAAAGTTCGATTCCCCAACGAGGCTTGCATTATGTAGGAGCCAACTTGCACTTGCATAAATTAATAATGAATTACCATTTACATATTAGGATAAGGTCGAGAATGTATGAAAGTGACAGGATAACTTAGAATATAGAGAGATGTTAAGGATAGACACATGTGCAGATGTTAAACTTAAGTATAACTTAAGTATAATGTATACTACACTCGCGAGCAAAAGTATGGAATCACTTACATGAAGTTGTTTCCACGCGAACTTGTGTACTAACGAATTTGTTACGAACAAAAAAAGTGGCAACATTTTAAAGATTAAACTTTTATCTTTAAATTGATACCAAATTCATTTAAATCACACCAGTATTTAAAAAGATATCGCGGCTAATGTGAAGAAGTAACGAAAAAGACATCTATGAACTGTTTGATACGTCGCGAGTTGCGGCCTATTTACCCCTTATAAAAGCACGCGTTTTCGGATTTTTGCTTTCACACGTTGATTCATACACATCTCCGCTTCTTTTGACACTTTACCTGGGATTCTACATCTTCAGAAGCAGCACAAATCGTTGCACTATTGCAAGAAGGACTCAGCCAGCGAGCTGTCGCACGTCAGCGCCACATAAGCCAGTCCTGGGTTTCGAAAATTTTAAGACGCTTTCGGGAGACTGGTGGCTTTATCTCGAGACCAAGTTCTGAACAGCGCCGGCGCACATCGCAGAGGGAAGACCGTTTTTTCATGTCAACCTCTCTATGAAATCGTCATTTGACTGGAATCGACGTCCAGTAAGAGCTCAGAAATGTTCGTAGGATAGCTGTTAGCGAGTAGACAGTTTGTCTAAGACATAAGCAATAGAATTTAACTCCAAAAAGGCCTGCCACAGGCTCGAAACTGACGGCAGGTCACCGATAAGCACGCTTTCAATTTGCTCGTACACATCTCGATGTTAAGTCGAGCAAGCCACCCCCATAAGCCACTGTTTCAGCGAACCAGCACTGCACAAATCGCTCCTCAGGCCGCCTATAAACCCGACCTCTTCGACTGCTGCCCTGCAAACACAGTTTGCATTCATCGGAGAACAGAACTCGCCTCCATTACTCGCCTTCCCATCGAGATGTGTACGAGCAAATTGAAAGGGTGCTTATCGGTGACCTGCCGTCAGTTTCGAGCCTGTGGCAGGCCTTTTTGGAGTCAAATTCTATTGCTTATGTCTTAGACAAACTGTCTACTCGCTAACAGCTATCCTACGAACATTTCTGAGCTCTTACTGGACGTCGATTCCAGTCAAATGACGATTTCATAGAGAGGTTGACATGAAAAAACGGTCTTCCCTCTGCGATGTGCGCCGGCGCTGTTCAGAACTTGGTCTCGGGATAAAGCCACCAGTCTCCCGAAAGCGTCTTAAAACTTTCGAAACCCAGGACTGGCTTATGTGGCGCTGACGTGCGACAGCCCGCTGGCTGAGCCCTTCTTGCAATAGTGCAACGATTTGTGCTGCTTCTGAAGGTGTAGAATCCCAGGTAAAGTGTCAAAAGAAGCGGAGATGTGTATGAATCAACGTGTGAAAGCAAAAATCCGAAAACGCGTGCTTTTATAGGGGGTAAATAGGCCGCAACTCGCGACGTATCAAACAGTTCATACATGTCTTTTTCGTTACTTCTTCACATCAGCCGGGATATCTTTTTAAATACTGGTGTGATTTAAATGAATTTGGTATCAATTTAAAGATAAAAGTTTAATCTTTAAAATGGTGCCACTTTTTTTGTTCCTAACAAATTCGTTAGTACACAAGTTCGCGTGGAAACAACTTCATGTAAGTGATTCCATAGTTTTGCTCGCGAGTGTACATATTTTATTCATCATAATATTAAATGGGTGTCACAGCAAGTAAAATAATTACAAAGTATTTTAAGTTGTAATTATTTTTAATCTGAAATCATGTAACGCAAGGGTTGTTCCAAGCCGAACGATTGGAAAATTCCTCGCGCTCCCAACACGGCCTTCGAGTTAGTTTAATGAAACTCCCAATCCAGTCCAGTATATCGACCTAGACAGAGTTATTTTTACTTGTTTAATTTCTCCACGAGCTTTGGACACAGTAGAGAACTGTCCTCACAGACGTTGCAAATTATTAGACTTAAATTTTTTAAGCCGTATAAAGTCTCCGTGTCTCGCTGATACAGACTGACGTCAGAACTTTAGAGGCGTCTGGTAATGTTATCAGACCGAAGGCTTATCGTGCCCCCGAAGCACAGAATCATGTCGCTCATACCAGCAATACGCATCAAGTGAGACGGCGGATGATCCAAAAATACGAGCAACTTAGCAGAGAGCACTCTTGCTGTACTGCTTAACTGCTTAATTAACTCTTTCATTATGTAGAGCGTTATCAAGAAGATTACAAGCCACGACATAGGTGACTAAAACTAAAAAGACTTTCTGGATTGACCTGTCTGTATCAAAAGTAAATAAAGGGGAAAAGAAAGTTTATTATTCTACCAAAACACCGTCCGTTTTAAGTGTAACAAGGTCTTAAAAGGCGTGATATCCCAGATCCCACCAGCCTCTATGAGTTAAGTAGTCTACAATATTAATGTAGGTTACGTGTCGCCGCTTAAATCGATCCACTCCAGAGATAGCTTTTCAGTCGCAATAAATGCAAGCTTTATGGGGAGCTTCGGAAATACACATCAAACGACTGCTTGCAGCTTTCAGGAACGCAGCGACGGTCGTTGGTTGTAAATTTATGGAAATGCTTTGTATGTTAGTGAGGACTAGTCAAAGGGATTCCTCGCAGTGTGAAGCTTTGTACATTTTGTCCCAAATATTTTGAGGGTACTAGCATAGAGGAGCCAACTCCATTCTCGTTGATTCCACTGCCATTTCTTGCTACAGCGATGCAGCAAGTAGGTATCTAATCTAAATATATAAAGGGAGAAACTGACTGACTGACTGACAGATCAACGCACAGCCTAAACGGCTAAACGTAGGCACTTGAAATTGGGAAGGGACGTAGCTTAGGTACCTTAGAGGTGCACTAAGAAAGGAATTCCCGAAATTCCCACGGGAACGGGAATTAGCGGGAAAATCCTCTTGTATGAAAAATCTAAACCGCTTAAGTTAGACGCTTGAAATTTGTCACCTTTGTAAACTTAAAGCTTAGTTACAACAGGAATTGCAAAATTCCCATGGGAACGGGAGTTAGCGAGAAAAAATGTTTGTATGAAAAAATCTAAACCGCGTAAGATAGATGAAGGGGGTAAAACGGGATCCACGCGTACGAAGTCGCGGGCGGCCGCTAGTTAATTATAAACGCAGTTACGCAATAACAACACTCGTAATAACAATCGCTCTAGCTGCGATAAAGTACATATAACTCGTCTGTAGGCTAACTATGTCACAAAGTTTTCCTGGTTACACACATAAAATTTTCACAGAACCACAATGAATGTATGTGTTTATTTTAGACCTATTTGTGTGTAATAATATATTTATAACTGTTTCTTAAACGAAATTAACGATTCAGAAAAGAATTTTTTTTTTTATTCTATCTGCGATCAGCCATCAGCCTTTATCAGATTAGATGAATTAGCATTAATGACAGTTTAGGTTCTGCACATCCCATGATGTGTCACCTCGTTTCTTTACAATAACTCTTCAGATCGATGCTATTCGCTTTCTCCTGAGCCTGAATGTAGAGTTCTCAGAATTCAGAAGGGATGCAGCAAGTACATTTTCATGACGCTGAAGCCTCTGTTGGTAAGCCCTACAGGACTTATCTACAACCTCTTTGACGTTTGGTATCTCCAGGTATTCATGCACTTCAGTGGACTTTGTAAACCAAGGTGCACAACTCAAGATTTTCAGCACTTTGTTTTGGAAACGTTGGAGTATTTCCACATTTGATTGGCTGGCCGACCCCCAGAGCTCGATGCCATATGTCCACACGGGTCTTAGGATGCATTTGTAAATCAGCAGTTTGTTCTCTAGGCTTAGCAGTCACCTCCTGCCTAGTATCCATTGCATATCACGAAGTTGTCTGTTAATTTGCTCCCTTTTGTTCTTGATGTGTTCACGCCAGGTGAGTCTTCTATCTATGTGCATGCCTAGGTATTTCACGGTTTGTTTATGTGGCATAGCGTTTCCGTTGAGTTTTACCGTTGGACAATCTCCTCTTCTCAGGGCGAAGGTAATATGGATAGATTTTAGAAAAGAAAATATAAAAGAAGGCTCTTTCCTTGCACAAAGGAGGGCATCGCTGGCATCGCTATCTAGCGAGGAATGCAGCTAGCCTAGCATCCTCGCCTCTTTGCCTCGCAGACGCGCTTTTATTTATTGAAGAAACAGAAAATTTATTTCAAGTTTAATACAATGTTTGTGTTCAAATAGTTGTTTTCTGTTTAATATAAAAAGGCAACAAATAAAATTCCCAATTAGGTGAATTGAGAATTTTGTAATTATGTTTTCTATTAAGTTACGCGATTTGGACGGAAATATGGACCCAATTTTAATTAGTAGGTAGAATAAATCTGTTTAGTCTATATTAATACCTACCTAAGTAATCTACAACTCTAAATATACCTATATAACTCAAAGGTGACTCACTGACTGACTGACATAGTGATCTATCACCGCACAGCCCAAACCACTAGACAAATCGGGCTGAAATTTGGCATGCAGGTAGATGTTATGACGTAGGCATCCGCTAAGAAAGGATTTTACGAAACTCCACCCCTAAGGGTAAAACGGAATCCACGCGTACGAAGTCGCGGGCGGCCGCTAGTATAATAATACAATTAGTAGTTTGGTTGATAAACTACTGACTGGTCCGTTTTGAAAAAATATTTATGTCGATAGGCCATTTATTTAGGTAGGCAAAACCGTTACGCTACGATCAATACGAGCAGAGTATCAAGGAAAAAATTTAGGAAAATGTGAAAATTTTTTTTTCACGCGTTACGGTGTCACGGTCACAGCTAGTCAGATGTGATGTGACCAAAAGGAACGCTTCGATAAATTTCATAGTGACAGCTAATGGATGCATCAGGAGCGGTAAATGCAGTGGTGTAGCCCAGGGATGTTATGGATATCCGTAACCGAAACTATCGGACATCCGAACTAAATAGATACCCGTAACCGTAACCGAAACCGATTGAAAAGTTTCGGATAGTTTCGGATAAAGGCGGATCCTAAATCTTATATTTTTTTAATATTTTCTACTTGTCTGGCATTTCCTGGCATCGTCTGATATTCGCCCCTGTTTTACCATTCTCATAGGTGGCTTTACGGGTCGCGCAGCATCTTGCTATTTGAATTTTACATTTTTTTTAAATGTATCCGAAACTTTCGGATAATCCGAAATGATTTCGTATCCGTAACCGTAACCGAAACCGGCATAATATTATTGTAATATCCATAACCGTATCCATAACCGAAACTTCATATCCATAACATCCCTGGTGTAGTCAGCCTCCCCTCGCCCCCCTCCCCCCACTGTGGTTGACAGCCATTAGAGAAGCGCTTTCAAAGTGCATAGGCTCCCACATTTAATTATATGCCTTTTTTGTTCACCACTACAAAAACATTGTGGCTGTATTTTTTAATAGAACTTACTGTCAGCTACCAAAGTAATTTCACTATGATTACTTTGATAACAATAATGAAGCTGGTATATACCAGTATTAGCTTTCCGCCCGCGGCTTCGCCCGCGTGGAATTTTGTCTGTCACAGAAAAACTTAATCGCGCGCGTCCCTGTTTCAAAAACCGGGATAAAAACTATCCTATGTCCTTTCTCAGGACTTAAACTATCTCCCTGCCAAATTTCATCGAAATCGGTTTAGTGGTTTAGGCGTGAAAGCGAGACAGACAGAGTTACTTTCGCATTTATAATATTAGTATAGATAGTGAATCGCGTCACTAGAACGGTCTCTGATACACTCAGCATCAAAATGGTAACACCTTAGATAAGAAAAAAGTTAATTCATGCTATACATTAACGCGTAAATAACGATCTAGGAAACCCTTGGCAGTGTTTCAATGTAAGCGCAATTCGTGTCCATCGTCCAATACATTATCATGGACCATATTTAAATAAATTTAGCACTTGGACAGCATAATGACCTTTTTAGATTTAGGGTGAACAGTTGATTATACCGCCGCGCAATGCTCCGAGCGAGCTCATTACTGTTATCAGCTGATAAGTATTATTAATCCGTAATACCTTATTATGGCGTTTATCCATTATTTCGACAAATAACTACTAGCCAAAATATATCAGAAAAACGTAATATTTACGGTGGAATTAAATTGATGAATTTTATGCATCAATATATCAATGTATCGTAATAATAACCTTGCTTGACTTTTCCAAATGAAACTTTTCTATTAGTTGGTCAGTATAATTGTTCCTAAATAAATAAGAATTATAACCTTGTGGTTAGTTACAAAGGAAAGCTAACCAATTCTACATCCAAGGATGAAACAGAAATTAATTTGGCAGGAAAATAATAATTTAATCATTTTAATAGACAGTGACGTGAAAAAAATGTACTAGCAAATATAACACATACAGGCATTTAACTCCGAAAACCTAGCATTAATGTAGCTTCATTCCACATTGAATCATAAGATATTTTCATACATGCAGTGCCTTTTGATAGGTAGTGTTTTACATTTAAGAAAATTAATAATAAACATTAAGAAATTTTGGTTTGAAGTGTATAAGTTCCTAATCCTACCCTGGAATCAGTTGAATGTCCATTATACATAAAATATATAGATATTTCTCATTAAGATGGGTTTGGATTATGAAAGTATTTAATCAATAAATACTTACAGCTGGTTCCTGAGCTCATGCGAGTCCTGTGGCGTCTGAAGCTGGTTAACCATCTTCGACATTGACGAGACTGCAACAAACATTTATTATATTAATAGTTCAAACAATAAGACATAATCAGAGATGTTGAAGTAGTACTAGAAAGTGTGTATTCTTGTAAGTATAAAATAGATGGTAACAAAAAAAAACATTTGTGTAAGAAAATTTTTGGATTTAAGAATTTCTATCTTGGAGCTTGATGTCCTCAATATGTAAGTTTGTACTTAATTAGACCAGCTGACAGATGAAAACATTCAAGTTGGATGTCTCAGATAAACAGAAAATTACTCAAAACACAATGGTGTGTACACAAAGCATTTTTCTTTGAATCTATGCCAGATAGAGGTGATAAGCAAAATGATAAAATATGAAATATCTTCAAGACGCAAAATAATACATGAATGTTCCTGGTGGGTGCCATACCATTTTGAGATATCTTCTTGATATTGCTCGCGATGGTCGAAGACAGTCGCTGGAAGTTGTCGCTGGCTTCTTCCTGCACCACACCGCCCTGGTACGACGTCTCCATACTGTCTCCTGCCTTTAAATTACCTCCAATTAAAATCAGAACACTAACAACGTGACGCACTGATGCAACTACTACGTAAACACTCCGATACTAACCTGTAATCAACTTATCCCACAAAGAATTTATTAGATTTGTGACGCACGATGATTCCGTTAAAGCTGGGAAAACAATGCAATGTTTTTGTCGTATGGTTTAATTTGGCAGGGGCAGAAAGTTTAAAACACACCGTTTGAAAGAAGAACACTTTTTCACGCAATAAAATAAAAATTGTAAATATGCTTTGAATAAATCTTTCTAGCACTGCTGATTCACCTCCCAAACGAAAAGTAACAAAATTGACAATTGACAACTCAAGATGCAGTTGTTCAGTGACAGATACATTCTTTATGTTGGTATTACGGGAAACTTATGACATAACTAGTGATGCTGCTCAAGTATTTTAGAGCAGTGATTTTTATAAATTTCTTAAATTTTGTTGTATTTAACGTTAAAACGTGATCTTTATAAAACTTATTGCACTTTGCGGTATTAACTATTGAGTTTAGGATTTTCTCAATCGAACATAAATGAACTTTTGGTTCTTCTTTTCTTATTTACATTATGACTAGATAAGTTATTTGATGTGTATCCGAACGTACTTTTGACTTTGATGACGTCACCTGTCTAAAACCTATACAAATTAAATAAACATGATTTAACCCTTGATTCGTAGGCACTTCGGTGCCTTTTTGATTTAGCCATATACTTCTTTGTCTATGGTATATACCAACCGTCATAGTGCGCAATACGTCGGTGTTCACCAGGGTTGCCCAGCGTAATATGCTAAAATCCCCAAATGCATTAATTTATTTTAATGAGACATTGTCGAACTTTAAGTTTCATATTAATAAAACAATTTTTTGTTTGGTTGTTCAACGTGGTAATAATACCCACAAGCAGTAGATTTATGTAACCGGGCAGTGTGTCTAATTCAGGTATTGTATAAAATAACTAGGGAATGTTTAAAATGCCTGGAGCGTCTAGGAAATTACTATAAAATATTATGAATATTCTTTTTCACTAGCTTTTGCCCGCGGCTTCACCCGCGTGAAGTTTAGTTTGTCATAGATCGTCATAAATTGTAGCCTATGATGTTAATCTGGGTCATAATACCTAAACAATAATACTGTAAAGTTTCAACAAAATCCGTTCAGTAGTTTTTGCATGAAAGAGTAACAAACATCCAGACATCCAGACATCATGACATCCAAACTTTCGCATTTATAATATTAATAAGTAGGATTCCATTTTAAATGTATTTGGACCTGAACCTCCATTTTTAACTGACTTCAACCTGGAATCCTCAACCAGAAAGGAGCACTTATCTTAGCTAAACATAACACAATGGGTATTTCGCCGAAACAGTACATTTTCTGTGTCCAGGCAGGCGAACACATGTTTTTTTATATCTATCTTTATAAAACTATTTTTATGGGAAAGTTCATCAAAAGTTTTATTTGTTTTTGCTATTACAATAGCAGAAACTACAAATAATGCCGTAGAAAAACTTAATCAAAAGTCGTTTTTCTAATTTCCTTGTTATGTCCATTACTGTTGTTTGGCAAAATTAAGGCTTATAATAACAAATTGAAGCGTAATTTAATTCTAATAGCACTCTCTTTACATTTGAGAAACGTTTGGCTATCGGAAAATAAAAACTTTTAATGTCAAATACTTATAGGAAGAAAATAAAGTGAAGTTAAAAGTTCTTGTCCAGGTCAAAAGTATAATTTCCCTGGGTCTTCGTTTCGACCATTGTTGTAACGAAACGAAAAAACTTAGAATGTAACGCACTGCACCACTACACTCGGCCATTTCGTCCCAAGAGGCCATTGAGGCAGGACAGTACGTCGTTGATCAGTTTCGCGAAAAATCGCATAAATAAGTCCCTCCTTGGGTTTTTGTTTACTAAAAAGTCAATTTCTTTGGACGGTTTTTTGCAACTAAACAATGGATTAATTTTATTGTTTATTTACACAAATGTAGTGTCTGTAGGGGTAAACCCATGATTTAAATAGTAAATGCATAGGGTAAATAGGTTTTTGTCTGTGGTGTCTTTTAGGCATAAATCTAATTTCTTTGGTCCTAATTTCCTTGTTTTCCGTGGCATAAAATGACCTAGGAAATTATAAAAGACCATTAATAATTCGGCGTAAAGTCAAATTTTGAGTATTTCTTTATTGGAATAAGTTTAAAATTTACATTTTAAGAAATAGGTATCAGAATAGATATAGAAAAACTTGTTTTTAACTTTTAACTCAATCTACTGCATTTATCTTCCTTAGTTGTGTAAAAAGGTCGTAATGGTATAATATTCATTGGCATGTTTGCTTGCGAAAGTACACAAAAATGGACCGAACAAAAAAAAAAGCAAACCACAGAAGAAAACTTAGAGAAAAAATTATTTATAATAATTTCCTTGGCTACCAAAAATTTATGACCTCATAACTTTGTTTCTAAAACGAATTATGACACCCCTTCTAGATATATTAGCTTAGTTTTTACTACTTAATGCAATGGGAAACTAAAAATAGTTAAAAACAAAAATAAAATTCGTGCCAAGGAAATTAGGCAAAATTGACCATTTTTGGCGAAATACCCCAATGCTGTTAATATTGTTTTGACAGACTTTAATGAGTTGGTGGTTGCTAGCAAGTCGGATTTAATTAGAACAAGCCCTACTACCAACTAAGCCCAGCGGCTTTCACCTCATTGCTGCATTGGGAATCGAACACGAGACCTCTGGATGAGTTAGGTGGTCTTACCACTAGATCAGAGACGATTAACTTTACTGAATTTAAATTGTAATATAGCATCACAATCAATTAAAGTAAATTTCTCATTTTCCTGGGTTACTGCCTGGCCGATCATCTCCACTTTCCCTGTTATCATCTTTTACACACATTGCCGGCTGCGCATTCGGTATTCGGTTTACCTAGGTAATATACAATTAAAATGCTTAAAACGTTCAGGTGATGTATGAAATATTATTCATTTTATACTTTACCTAGGTATTGTATACTATACAGTACCGAATGTGTAGAATACCGGATTTGTAAATAAATGTATTATAAAATTACTTACAATTACGTATAATTACAGACTTAATAAATTCCTGTTTTGAGTAATGAATAATAATTGTAAGAAATCAATCAAGAATAGCTGAAATTATGTGATGTTAAATATCGTATTTTTGTTCATATTCCCTTATTGAACGTTGTTCACTTTCAGTTTTTTAGCTTTCTGTAATTATTTCCTGTTAAAAAAAAATACACGTGAAACAATTATTTCGATACGTCAATTAGTTTCCAACATATTGAATTTTAAAGGTGCGGGCGACGGCCGGGCCACGCTCTATGCACGTGACGTCATCATTTAGGAACTGGCTCAAAATTTGTATGTGTGGAATCTTGCATATTGAATTAGGTCCACTTCCGGACAACCGATTGAGATGAAATTTCGCATAGGTACATCATGTTATCAGATGACCATGCTATATTATGATAACATGGAGCTGATCTGGTGATGGAGCAGAGCCCCGATTACGGTAATTTTTAACGTCAACAATCCAGACACGCTTCTCGATTCTGCGATACGATTGGTCGTTCAACAGCGTACGTCAGCTGTTTTGACCAATCGTATCGCAGAATCAGAAACGCGTCTGGATTGTAGACGTTATAAAAGTTACCGTAATCGGGGCTCTGGAAGGTGGCCACAGGACCTCCAGTTTAAAATGTTCGAGTCTGGGCTCGTTCGCTTAGTATTTGAATTCCTCATACAATTTTAATTAAATACCCCACACAACACACTGTGACACAACAACAGAACACAAAACACTACGGGAGATACCTGCAACTGCTATAGCGACTGAGCGGACCAAATTAAAGTAAGTCACACGGGGTCACGTCGGCCCTTTCACGAACTGTCTGCGTCTGCGCTTCGTGAAGCCCACACTCGGCCTCTCACCAAACGGCTAGTGTACCTTTTGTACTCGCCTCTCTGCCTGGTAAAAGCTGGAAAGCTCTTAAAACTACCAGCGCGCGTCCCTTAAAAAAATGGGGTCACGTGACCGTTGGCGGGACTCGATATTATTTATAAGTATGCGAACTTTGAATGCTTATAAAATCATAACTATATATATATATATCCTTGGTATTTTTGAATGAAATAAAAACAAGTGTATTTGTATATGTAAAAGCTTAACTGTAACAAAGATTTCAAGTGATTTTGCACACATTGTAACATTCTCAATTGGAGCTCTCCCCACATGCCCTTATCAGCTTCACTCTCCCCGAAGCTTGGGGAATTCTCCAAAGATTGGCAACCCTTGTTCACTGTACACTTTGTATGTGTGATAATGTGTGTTTGTGTTTACCTGTGTGTATTTGTCTTCGTGTCCCTGTATCCTCGATTATCCTCTGAAATTTATTCAGAATTTTAATGGCCTTCGCATAGTAAGGTCGCGAATATTCATGACTGAATAAATCGGGATCCCTACAAATTATTTGGTCAATTGAAAGTGAAAATGAGTTGAATTCTGTTTAGTTGCATTTTCTTTCTGTAAGGCTGTTTATTGCAAAGTGAGGAAAAGTCTGACCCGTTATCTACTCCTAAAGTGTAGATCGATATGAGTGGCTGAAGTGGAGGATGCACTAAAGTCGTTACGAAGGTGAGTAGCGCGGACCCTCGCGGGTACATAGAGCTATTTTATCTATGTATACGTTAGACTGGGGCGATTTGATTCATTCTGTCACTTGCCTCCGTAGAAGCAGAGCACCCGTCTGCAATGGACCCATCCCTCTTCTTGCAATATTCGCCGCCCACCGGCCTCCCCCAGGAGTCCAAGCTGGCCACCTACATGGTATGTAAATTAGCCATATTTTGCTTATTTTTTTTTTAAATATTTGGATCGTTTTTTACAACTTAATTTTATTTTCTAGAATCGGTCTACGTCGACCCCGACGCGGTCCCTGAATCAGGCCCTGGGCAAGCTCAGCCTGGAATCATCTCCAACTTCTATCAAGAAGGTATTTCTTTTGAAATTATTTAATTTTGAATAGTTTGCACACAACAAATTTTATTAAATAGCTTTTTACAATTTCATATAATTTAACTAACACTAATTTGAATTACCCTCTTATAGTAAATATTAAGAATTCAAAGTAGTTTTTAAAGATAAGGATTTATTATTAATTGTGTTGTAAAAGGCACACAACAAGACACAGTGGTGTTACAAAAGGCACATAGTCCTGAAGTATACAATTTAAAACTTTTACTATTTTGTCTACCAGTTGAACAATGGAGCTCCACCACCGGTCATGCCGCAGCAAGTGCTGATTGGGGAGTTCGTTCCCATCAACTACTACAGCCCGACCAACATTCTGCCCGACTCTCCTGAGAGCTCGCCTCCGACTCCGATGGCTCCCATGGCCACCATGCCGGCAAACCCACAAGTTCACCAGGTATTCATTCAAAAACTTTTACGTAGAGTTTTATTGTCTTTGTAATTTAAAATGTACATTTAATTGTATCCGCTTGTCCTCAGGAGAACGTTGGTGGCACCACTTACTTCTACTCCACCAACGACAGCCTGAACACCACCGGCTGTCTCAGTTCTTCTGCTTCACTTGGTACGTATCATTTAGTTTCTTTTCTCTTTGAAGCAAATTAATTTTGATTACCATTGAATACCAATATGCAATGCAATTTAAATACAATACAGTTTGAAAAAATATTGGGTTATTCTGTCAAAAACTTATTAACATTTTACAATAGATAAAAATTGGGGGCAAGTTTATGAAAACTACACCCAAAAACAAAAAGCTGAAGGCGTGTTACAGTTTTTCACTGCAATACATTTTAGTGTTAAACTGCCTAGTTTATAAAGTGTTCAGACAAAAGTGTTTTACTTTTGTCAATGTATTTATTTACATACATACATGCGCATACATATCAATTTAAACCAGACAACACACCAGTAGTCATATTCTAGAAACTAGGATTTGTACACATTATTTAATAATATGGTTTTAAGAAAGGCATAATCTAAATATACAGGGTGTCCCAGAATGGGTGAATCAAACTGCTAGGGGAGGTAGCTCTACTAATGTACTATCCCTAAAAAATATGAAAAAAAATATAACGCATAAGGACACAATTTTTTTTTTTTAAAAAGTGATAATAAAGTATCTGGCTATAATTGCTGCGTTTGGAGTTTATTTGTACTATTTTCTTACTAATATAATATTAATTGTACATAATCGCTTCGTTTATCTGTAAAACAACTTTTAAAAATAATGACTGGATTTCGAGTTTAGAGCAATTTATTTAAAAAAAATATATAAAGAAATTTATATTAAGAACTTAAATATACACATTACACTTCTAAAGTCAATAAAGCCATAAACTTCTGTCTAATACAAGACCATTCATTTTATAAATTAGAAAATCATGTTACGACTAATTACATAATTAGTCCTTTTCCCGGTGGCTAAAAACTTGACAAAACTATTATCTAGCGCTCCAAATGCTCTATACCTCATCATCATCATCTTCTCAGCCATAGGACATCCACTGCAGAACATAGGCCTCCCCCAATGCTTTCCGTGTTGCCCGGTTACCAACCGGGCTCTACACCTATAGTCTGGTCCATGAGCACGTAGAATTTTGTCCAATGACCCCTAGCTACCCATCCTTATCGCTCGCGCGTAATTATGTTGCTATTGCGCTCGCACACTCACTGCGGGTGCCAGTCGCACAGTCGCGACAGCGATATAATTACGCGCGAGCGATAAGGATGGGTAGCTAGGGGTCATTGGACAAAATTCTACGTGCTCACGAACCGGGGTTTAAACGGCAACAATACAACATGTTGGTTGTCCCCAGTGGGGGCAGAGGCCTGTATGGGCCCCGTGGGCTCGGCTGCCGCGTCGCCCTACGCCTCGCAGCTGTACTGCGCCGGGACCCCCACCCACATGGGTCATATGACGCCCGCCAAGCCAGGTGAGTCCCTCACACACTCACACCTCACACACAACCTGAATCCATCACACACACACGAATTAAAACTGAAACAAGTATGGAAGAGTTCGAACTTCGAAGATCAATCGGTGTTTTTGCTACTCAAACAACATGACAAATAAGTCCGATCAACGAGGAGATTCGTTGTATGGAGACTTCCGAATAATTCCTCTGCCTATGAAACTTGGCACGTGATGAAAATAGGTAATACAGATTATAGATATACAATAATCCAATAACTTTTATAACGGGACGTTTAGTATTTTCACCTAAACATGATGCGTTATTATTGCTACCCACGTGACGTATAAAATTTTACACTATAACTTGTACTGCAAAATTGCTCTGCTGATGTCAATATTAACCTTACGGGGGTAGTAATAGGAACATATATTTTTTGGTAAAAATAACCAAATTTCCCATAATAAAAGTTGTTGGATCATTGTATATCTATATACCTATTTTCATCATGTGCCAAGTTTCAAAGTCAGAGGAATTATTCGGGTTACAAAAGCTACGTTGATCGGACTAAATGTGAATAATTCTTTGCAGCCGGCTTTCGTAAGTTCGGGAACGTAAAGTGTTATGACAATATATCTCCTGAATCCCTCGCTCGTGCAGCCGCTACCATTCCGAGCATTGTGCGCGCTAGGCGCAAGTTGCAGGAAAAAGCCGCGCAGGCCGAGCGCGAAGCAATGGCGAACAATACACCCGCTGAGTAAAATGTATTATTGTGCTTTTGTAACGGTTTCCGCATATAATCGTGTGTAATCTTAGGAAACCCAATACGGAGCAATACACTATATACCGAAAGGAACATTTTATTTACCGCCCACGATCTCTCTGCTCTGCGGAACGATTCTGATATCTGTACACTCATTCTCATCTTTCTCATTCTGAAAAGTAAAGCCTGGTCCGTGAGCACGTAGAATCCCGTCCACCCATCCTTATCGCTCGCACGTAATTATGTTGCTGTCGCGCTCGCACACTCACTGCGGGCGCGCGTCGCACAGTCGCGACAGCAATATAATTACGCGCGAGCGATAAGGATGGGTAGCTTGGGGTCATTGGACGGAATTCTACGTGCTCACGGACCAGGCTTTAGACATAATATTGAGTAGTCGAGATACAATCGTCTTGCAGAGTGGGAACTCTTGTTTTATTCTCTACGGGCTGTCCAGCAGAACTTAACATCATCGTAAGTATACACTTAATCTGATAACCTAATAACGGAATACATCTTTAACAATGTCTTTGGCTAATATTCATAATATACCTAACTAAATATCTAATGGGGCTCCTCCAGGTTATTGAAAAAGATTCATATACATTCACAGATAAAAACCTTGTTGAGTGAGAACATATTATTTATGGGACTACGGATTTGCTTCCGCTTAGTTTACACAATCTAAAAAATTGAATTACTTAAACTAAACTAAAGAATAATTCCCAATAATATATTAGACTCGTATTTTTTATTTTCTTTCATAATTAAATGATAACAGTGCTACATCGAGTTGCAATGGCGCGTTACGTCACGCCTATGTACAATTTTTACTTAGAAGTGACGTCACGCGACATTTCAACTCAATATAATACTGTAATTATTCGATTATGGAAAAAAATAAAAAATACGTGTTCAATATTTGTCTGTCTGGTGGACTAAATAGAATTTAGATTTCATTACCCAGTCATCATCCCAATTATAAATACGTCGTGGAATACATCACTCGTACTACAAAATGCATAAAACAGGTCAATTGCGATCTTTCGGTTGGGTTACCGTTACGCATTTACGGTTAGCCGAATTTGGCGTATGCGCAGATATGGTTTGCAATTTTTTTAGAACTTTTTGTGATAGAAGTGACAGAAATAAATAATACGAAACACTGAGCAGGAAAAAACTAATGATTTGAATACATTGCGCAAGTAATCGTTTAGTCCTATAAGAAAATAAGGTAAAGTTTAGTAAGTGCAAAAGTGTGACGCCACAAAAACAGCTGTCAAATACGTAGAAAGTACTAGAGACATAATTTTTGTTCTAATTTCGCTTGGATATCTTCAAAATCCAGACATCTGCCTAAATTATAAGCACCACCATTTACTTAGTGCAGTTTCTGCCTCTATTTATTTTTTTCTGCCAAACGACTAAAGTTGGTGGTTTGCGTTTTCCGTCATGAATAACAGGTTAAGTAGTAAAATGAAACGGATGATTGTGAGAAATAAAATGACTAGGTAATCGTACAGTCTATATCAGTGGTTCCCAAAGTTGTCTGGGCTCAACTCATCTAATACAAGTTCCCAAACTCGGGACCCACTTATAGGAAATTTAACCAATATACTTACCTAAATAATAAAGGAAAATAAAGGACCCACCACTGGGTCGCGATCCATAGTTTGGGAAACCCTGGTCTAGATGCAATGGACGTTTGCTAGTGGAGGCTCTAATTAGCAATAATAACTACTTAACACGCCATTAGCAGTATTTTACTAAAACAATAGAAGCTATGGCAGAATATGAAAGGGACTGACAGAAGATAGCTTCACGACTAGTTTCATCATTAACATGGTAAAATGCATTACCAACTTTCGATTGTTTTCATATTATTATGAAAAAAATTGCTGAGCGATTTTGCATTGCTTTCAAAATGATGAAATAGTTAATTGCAACCAAAGTTCTGGCCTATTATTTAACTAAAACTTTAAAAAAGTTTTTAGTAGGTTTTTGTTAGAGCGAATATATTTCAAATAAGTATATTCTATTTCTACTAAACAATAAACTTTAAATAAACTATACCATAAAACCGTGAAACACTGGCCCTACCTAATTCTAATACCGAAAGTATAAAATTGAATATGAAACGTAGACTTCCATAGAAGGCACAATATTATTACAATACAGGGTGTATTTTTATACTTGATAAAACAAAAAGATTTGTTGTACAGCCAATATCAAATTAAAAAAAATAAATGCAACAACCAATATTTTTTTGTACTTTACAAAAAATTAACCAATCGTAATATAATCACGACAGTTTAATTTTCCTCCGGGACAAACTTGGCCTTCACTGGTTGGGTTTTTATTGGCGGTCAAGCTGTAGATCCTGCCCACACAGGAGTTGCAGCGGTGGGAGCGAGAGGTGGGAATAATCCCGTAAAATAAAATCACGAATGACAAGGCAGTGGTCGTAGGTTCCCGAATTCTGTCATAGTAATGGTATTCCAAATAGTGTGTAACTACACACATATTTTATTAAAAAATAATAAGATCTGAAGCTATTTTATATAAATTTACGTAATTGAGTAAAATAAAATTGAGTCAATCTAAATTACCCACATTTTGGTCACTTAATAAAAACCCAAATGTTATTATCCCAAGAAAAATCTGCGCTGTTAGGGGTGTTTTTGAGTCAAATCATATAAAATCGTGCGCTCGCGCAAATCATGTTTTTCTACGTTTATTCTGTTTAAAACCGCAAAGGCCTGAATTCCAATTCATATTTGTCCATACCAAAGTAAACAACGCCAACGCTTCTCTTGTTTTAACTTGGAGGAGTTGTAAGTTGTAACTTTTACTTTACTGCTAATGCGACTGTCCTATGTAGCGTTGCTGTTGACGAATTAGTTATTTTATGTCTTGCCATTGCCCTAAGACTCGTAGTCACAAATCTAGTTTTTTAGAATTTCAACTGTAACTGTTATTAAAAATTACTAATATTCCCATAACCCCTCCATTTAAACTAACTAACAACTAATTAACTATTCTTGTGTTGAGTACAATTGCCTATAAAATCTGTATAAAATGGTATAATAGTCTGGTCCGTGAGCACGTAGAATTTTGTCCAATGACCCCAAGCTACCCATCCTTATTGCTCGCGCGTAATTATGTTGCTATCGCGCTCGCACACTCACTGCGGGTGCCAGTCGCACAGTCGCGACAGCAATATAATTACGCGCGAGCGATAAGGATGGGTAGCTAGGGGTCATTGGACAAAATTCTACGTGCTCACGGACCGGGCTTTAGTTTTGTTCAAATAACTTGCGAGGCCAGCGTTGCGTAAAACGGAGTACGAGACTTATAGGATTTATGATTCATAACAAAATTGTTAAACTATAATATTCTTTCATCAGTACATTGCAGACAGTCTAGAGCTGCCATCTCAAAGAGATTTCCATAACTTATTTTCCATATTTCAAAAAAAGCCTCGTCGCTCAAATTGAAAAGGTTTTTCAATTTAATAAACTGCGCATCATATCTGGAAGCTTCTGAACAGGTCACCGCTAGACGTCCTCTATGGCGAACCTGGGAAATCGATCCAGCGCGCGCAGCTAGGGTTGCCAGGCGTCCGGCTTTTTAGGGACTGGTCCGGCCAAATATTGCTTGTCCGGCCTGTCCGGCTTTTGTTAAGATTTTTATTTGGTTGCCGCGCGAGGCAAAAGTCGAGCCACAGAATCATATGAAGCGCACGCAGCAGGATGTTGGTTAGCAACCGATAGTGATAGTACTCACTCATGAGCTGACACTAATTTCACCCCCCCCCCCCTGTCACATGTCCGGCTTTTAGGGTAAAATGTCAAGCCAAATTAAGCACAAAGTCCGGCTTTTGTGATTTTGGACCTGGCAACCCTACGCGCAGCACGTATGAATAGTGCGTCTCCTTCGGTTGCATAGCGCCGTTGCACCTGCACCGAGGTTCGGAGGGGTCTGGATTTGGCGGGGGTTTGGTGGAGTTGAGGGGAGGGGCGGGGGATGCTGGCGATTGGCGTTGCTGCGCGAATACATGTGATAATAGATATCAAATCTGTTTTGGGATGTTGAATATTTTATTGAGTTGTCACTTGTAATGACTTGACTGGCCTTATCCCGGGCTAGGTGGGAAAGAATGACGCAAATAACAGGGCGTGATTAGGAAGGTAATTAACTTGGCTCGTTAGTCATTAATGACGATTATTAGTCATTAATGATTGTGTAGTCGATCTTT